ACAATCCGACCATGAAAGCGGGATTATTTATGCTGATTCCGATCACAATCCGAACGCCCTATGTCCTCTCTTGGACAGGGAGTTTTAGGCCCATTCTGGCAGTTTTGGAGCTTCCGAGGACCATTCCGGAATTAATTAACCTTTCCGAATTTCCACTTTCCGAACGAGAAATCCGAATTTCTGACTTTCCGAATGCAAATAATTATTTATTTATTCGGAATCATTTCCTTGGACTACGGTATTACCAGGTCTTTGGTGCCTTCGATTCCTGAAAAGAAGCTCGAAGCGCTCGCCCTGTCGAAAAGGAACACGGTAGACTGACCAGACTCCCACGCTCGACAGCAACTGAAGCACGGTTTAGACATGAGAGAACTCCCGCTAAACGGCCTGGCTGTGGAGGAAACAAATCAATGACGATCTAGATTCATGGGCTGAAACGAGGTACAGCTGCTAACGACACCGCCTGCCTGGCGCCTCGGTACGGCTGAAGATTCACTCCCTACCCCTCGACTCACAATCTCTTTTGCATCAGCCGAGCCGGAACAAAAGGGACAGAAACGATTGGAGGCTGAGAGGGGATCAGATGACGAATCCGTTCCCCCCGCAAATGGCCCCACTTTGATGAAGAACCTATGCAATTCGTGCTAGAAGAAGCGGGTTCGTGTCAATTGACAGGCTGCAAGGTAGTAGAGCATGAGTGGGACGAATCAAGGGGCCTTGAGAATACATGAGTGCAAACAATGCATGACCGGGGCAACATGGTTTCGAAGTGCTATCCAACCATGTCAGCAAACAGTGACGTCTCAGGAGACGCAACAAGCTTCAAAACGGAAAAGAGGGTGACCAGAACTGAAGGATAATGATTCCAGAGACGGAAGATCGTCTTTCGGCCCGAGAACTTCACGGTCGCAATTAAGTTCACGAGAACTGAAGCAGTGAGCAGAGACAACTCATTGAGTCCTCATCCTTTCATTGCCGCCGTTCCTCAAAGAATCTCCGAAAAACCAGAGAGCTCCGCGCGCACCCTTTGCACCTGTGTCATGCTCCAATAAGATCAACCAATCAGCCAACTTAAGACAAGCCTTCATAGCACGTCCCTATTCGTCAAACCCGAAAGGGACGATCCCAAGCACATGCGCAGAGGCGCAAAAGCTGCAACCAACGATGGGGTTACCTTTCAAATTAAAAGAATATTGCAAGGTGACAACGATTTCAAGAACAGGTCACGGTCGGAGTGCACATCAAAGGCTGTTCCTTGCTGACCCGTGTCGACACGGAGCATACACTGTTGCTAAGTAAACGCTCTCGTCCTGAGGCCTCGTCAGCACCACTGACTCTTAAAGAGCACTCAATGTGTTTCCAGAGCCTCTCCTTCTGGGCTTGCAAATGCATTTCTGAAGGTAAGGCAGTAATGACGGGCCATGCGGCGTGAAACCGATAGCGGGGTGAGCAGCGTAAGCAACATAATGGTCAGAATCGCAACCGTACTTTTGAGTGTTGAACCGCATTGAAAATATGTATTCGTGAAGAGTCTCCCCTGGCCCTGAGCAGACTGCTCGCGATGGCTGCAATCTACTGACCCTCTTTGTGACCTGCTCTATGGAGACGCCGTTCCGTACCAACTCAAGAAGCTTCGTATGACCATGAACTTCCAATCCCGTCAGCGGTTTTGAGACCTGTAAAAAATCGCGGCGAAGCAGCTGCGCAAATGTCTAATGCACATTACAAAAAGACCGGACGCCTGCCTTGCAAGTGGCTCAAAAGCCAAAGTACGATGTATAAGCTCTCTAAGCTCATCGAACTCATCACAGCCATGAAAGTTGAAAGCTCTCACAGGCTTGCTCCTGAAAGGTTGATAGATTTTCAGTCCAAAAGCCCTTCACGTCCGACCGAGGCAGAGAACCAAAAATACGATCCGTTCAAAGCCGGCTCTAGATCAGGCTGAGAGACACGTGACCTTTGGTTGGAAAGGGAAAAGGTGGCTCCCGGCGGCCATCACAAGTTGCCACAGCCGAACACTAACGGCTACAGACATGCCACATGAACAATTCTGAAGCTCCTCTGATGTTAAGAACATCCAGAAACCGCCACAAAGTCACTTTTGCATAGAACTCAAAGTACGGGCATCAGCCTCGTAACATTTGATAACTACCGAGAAACGCTAGTAGTTTGGAAACGTCGTAGCCACCCCTCGAGTGATCCGGAAGGCGTGAATAATCAAGTGCCTTGCCAAATCAGGAGCGGAATTTTGTCATAAGAAGCATAAAGTCAAGTGAACATATTTGAGCAATAAGAGTCTATACTCTTGAAAGGCTGCAAACGGCACACTCTAGAATGCAGCGACGTATTTCGTGAGCAGACCCGTGAAAGGTAATCCCATTGGTACTCCCATCGAAGCAGACAGAAGACCCCACATTTATGTTGGATCGAAGCAGATCGGACCTTTTCCTTTCCCAAAGGTGCTATAAGTGCTAGCTCAAGTTGAAAGCAGTCTGAAGACGCGGTCAAGCAAAAGCCGCCACACTCCTCGAACTCAGACGACGGGCTTGAGTCCGGAAGTAGCTCAAATGATAAGGTAACAAGCACCTGCTTCGGCAGATCAAGAACGGCATACAGGAAGTGCATGCATGATGAAATGTCCCCACCTGTTGAAAAAACCGAGTCGAAAATTCGTGAAACTAATGGTGCTCTTCGAAGCACGTCTTTGAATGGTTGGTTCCGATCAAATGACTGTCGAAATCGCGAATTGAGAACTGATTCAAGACGGCGGAAGGTAACCGGGCGCTTTTGTCCTTCTGAGCTTCTCGACGTCTATCACTCCGATGAACACCGCACAAGCTGCCCCTACGCACACCAGCGCAGCTACTAGAGTCCGTTGCCGCAAACCCATCTCGTTCCGGTGCAACCTGCAGAGACAAGGAGACCGACTTAGAGCTTGTCGATTATCTAGATACCAAACAAAAACCGAGCGGAGTCACGCAGTCACTTGGAGAACCATCGAAAGACGACACTGCTCGGAAAGGGATCAAATGCAGATAAGGGCTGTCGCCAGGACTACAGAAGATTGGTATTGGAGCCCGTCCCATGATAGCCTGAAGTTCGATCCTAGTCATTTAGTACCTGTCCTGCTTGAGAGCTAAGTTAATCGATCCGTAAGGAAGCCAAGATTGCCGCATGACTCTGCACGACTCAAACAGAATTTTAGAATACCCCGAAGCTGGCGCTCTTGGCCCAAGTTGGCCACTTATTTAGACTTACCAACTGCGAATAGGGACAAACCCGCGCATTAGCGCTGATCGCCGCTGCTTGGGCCCTTTCAAAATGCAGAAAACAAGGCAAACACATCCCTCGCACGCCGTAGAAGATAACGAGAAGCGGAAGTGTGCCTCCTCACAGGTTCTAAAATACAGTTGGCAGCCGCTAGAAGGCGCGAACACTCTTCGCAGAACTTGACCACGACAAAGACCGGACTAGTGTCACATGTAATCGAGGAGCTTGGCAGCAGCAGCGAGAAGCGAACTTTTCAGATTTTGACCCTGCCAAGTCTCACGAGCAAAGCGGACACGTGGCATCCACAAGGGGTACATGACCCTTGGCAGCAGCGGGGGAGGCCCCGTGATTGCGAGCTTCCGAAGTATCATGATCTTTCAAAAGCGGCCACGTGGCATTCACGCCTGTAGAAGATACCTGGCAGCAGCAGCAGGGAAGACCCCCATGCTTGCAACTCTTCCTCAATCTCCGACAAACTTTGCAAAAGCTGACACGTGGCACTCACACGTAGTAGAAGACACCTGGCAGCAGCAGCGAGGAGCACATGCTGGCCACTCCGCCCACGAGCGACTCCACGTAGCCCAGCACGTCGTACGCCACCACGGACACCGCGTACGCCACGCCCAGGACCACTGTCCGCAAACAACGCTCCACGATCGCTGCAACAGGGCAAAGAAAGCTCCTTTTTAAGAGAGGGCATACTTCAAGGGCATCTTAGACTGGTTGGGTTGAAGTACCCGAAAACACACACGGATCGCGGATGTCATTGGCAAAACCAGCGTCCGCAAAGACCGCTCCACCGCTGTACGCCAGCTGCGAGTTTCTTTCGGAGAGTGATTTCGACATTTAGAAATGTTGCCGGCAGAGTCCATAAGAACTGATAGTCAAAATCGTCGTATGTCAACATGAAACAAGAATAGGACAGAGCCCGCCGAAGATAACCTGACTCGCGCGCTTTTGCTGGCGTGTACGCCATGTCAGTGGTGAGCTCTGCAATACGAACCATAGTAGAGAGGGCGTAGGGGGTCAAAGGTTTGCTATGATTTCGACTGGAGCGGACTAGGAAGTCTGCAACAGACTCGCATGAGTGTTTCGATGTGTTGCAGGCCAATCGAGGGTCCGAGCTTCCGTGTTCCTCGAGCCGCCAAGTCGCGTCTTTTTCATAAAGCGTAAGGAGACCTGAAGAGAGGAGAAACAACCGCTGTAGAAGCGGTAGATCGAAGGAACAGGCAATCAAAGCGAAGGGGACGGTGAACGAAAGACAGAACAGTCGACCGTACCCGACGCAAACACTTTCCGGTTCCTGTGCGACATATCAACAGGTAAGTTCCGCCAAAGCAGACACGAGCGGCAAAATCCTCAAGCAGGCGTGAAAACCTTTACTATGATGATGAAAACAAATTGGGTAACAATTTGAACCACCTCCAGGAATCCAACGTTTGACGTTCTCAGCTCGTTACCTGATGCGCGCGCTTTCGTGGTCCCCTGCGCCATGTCGATGATAAGCTCCGCGAGCACGAACACGAGCGGCGAGATCGTGGAGAAGGAACTGAGCGCAACTAGAGCGGAGAGCAGCTGCGAGAGGCTGATCTCGAACGCGCCCAACTTGAGAAGCTTCCACCCCGCGACAGAGGAAGAAGTTGCCAGATTGTGGGTGACGAGAACGGAACAGCTTTCACCGAAGTACTGATAAGCGGCGGCGCCCATTAGAGCGTACCTGCAGGGAAAAGCAAGGTCCTGAATAGAAAAATCTTGCTTGGCTTTTGAGCCTTACTGATGTTCCAAACTGCAATCCTGTGAAGCAAGAATTTGGGTGTAAGTTTCTTTTTCTCCGCGGAGGAACCCAATGTTGCCAGACAATCAGCGACGTCACATGAGCAGCATTTGCTGAACTACTGTCATGCGGCAGCTGTCATCAGCGCGTATCGTCAAAGAATCAGAATTTCTACCTTCAGATTTCAATAGAGCTTAGGAACCTGACAAAAGCTGGCGACGGAAGCTGACGTGGCAAAGTAGTTTGCGGCAAGTAGAGGCCAGAGCTCAAGCAAGCCGCGGCGCCCAGCAAAGCTTATTTGCGCGGCATGCAGAGAAGCTGCTTCTTACAATCTGCTTGTTTTTAGAGCGCACCAACCTACGAATGGGTTGAGTCTCACATCTCGCTGAAACAGCCTCAACGGTGCTAGATTGCGTGAATTGAGCAACAAGAAATGATTTAGCTTTTGTCAGAGTTATGCTAAGCTACGGCAGCTAACAAGGGCGTTCACGTGTTCGATGACCATGCTTGCTTTCGCTTTTAAAAACCGCACTTTTGCGTGGTTCAGGACTGGTGTGCGGCAGGAAACAGCAATTGCGTATGAGCAAAGAGCACACGGGCTTTGGCTATGAGGGACACAAACCCGAACTCGCCCTTGTTTTGTCAGAACTTTGGAGTGTTCATCTGCGTCTGCGCCTATAAGAGCGGTCCCTTCGAAATGCACACCGGTAGTCAATTCCGTTCCCAGCCTGACATCCTCCTGCCTGGAAGCGTGTTGTCCGGCTAAGCGTATATTCACCCCTCCCAATCACGAAGGAAACGCCACCAAATCCATCAGTGCCGGGAAACTTACTACTTAGAAAGTCCACTTAAGCTAAGACCGGCAGGGAGTCTCGGACTGGATAGAACACCTCATCGTTAGCGATGCAAACGCAGTCGGTCAGGTCCAGAAAAAGTGCGACAAAGCGCTTGCACAACTGCATAGGGCAGGCAAGAGGCAAAGTATGAGGGGATGGTTGGCCGCAGTCTGGACAATAAGCAACCAAAGGAGCTGATTTTGACAAACCAGTGCAATAATCTGATGCCAGGGAAACTTCGAAAGTGGCAACGGCCTAAGGAACCCTGCTACGAGATTGCTTAGCACTTGTGCGCTGTGGCAGACAACGGCAGCCGCGTCAGGGCTTCCTTGTCGCCTGAGCGCGGATGCGTGTGTCCGCCCTACCAAAAGCGTAAATGCTCGAGCAAGAATCGCCCGGCTAACGCAAGCGGGGAGAGAATCGCAGAGGAATGAGAGCAGGTAGTGGTGGCGTCCGGGACCCTACAACTACGTAAGCGCTCACTGGAGCTCACAGTCTAGTCCTCTTCATGGCCGTGCTGCGCTGACCAAGAAAGCTGCAAGGAATGCAACTGTTGCTGGTGGCCGTCGGAGATGAGAGCAGATCACGAGCTTGAGCTAAAGAGCCCACAATCTGTAAGCTCGTCATGGCCGCGCTGCGCTGACTGAAAGTTGCAAAAAATTCGAGCACGTGGTCGTGGCGTCGGAGAGGAACGAATCGAAGAACTCAGCGCAAAGGTGAGCCCACGATCATCAAAGTTCGGTATGGCCGCGATGCGCTGACTGAAAGCTGCGACGATTCCGAGCGATCTGATCGGGGCTTCGGAGAGGAACGAAGCTCAGACCTGAGCGCAAAGGTGAGCTGACGATTGAGGGTCGTCATGGCCGCGGTGCGAACGGGAATGCGCCAACGAAAAATGCAAAGGATTCGAGTAAGTAGCGGTGGTGTCGACGCCGATGAGGCTTCGGTGTTCTACGACTTCCGGTTGTCTACTAGGTTTGTGATAGCCGTCCTGCGGTAATTGAAAGTTGCAACATTTGTAAAACAGGCAGTGCTGGCGTCATAAAAATCACCGAAAGTGAAAATTCGAGAGCTAAAATGAGCCCACGAATTGTTCCGACTCATGATGGTTGAGAGGCACTTATTGGAGGCTGAACAGAATGGAGCAGGTCATGGTGGCGGTCGGAGATGGCCTCACGGGAAGGAAATTTGCGGGCTAAAGTGAGCCCGCATACATCTAAGCTCATCATGGCCGCAAGTCGGTCGCTCAGGCTCATACATACAAAGGGGGAAGAACAGAAAAACGGGGTCTGCTGCTGAAGGCCGATCTTTTGCGAGCCTAATTCCCCTACCTTGGGACCGTTTCTCAACGTTTAGGGCAGCCCAAGACGATATGAAAACAGTGCAAAACAGTAGCACGAGCAACGGCGAACTTCCTCAGTCCCTGAAGAACAGCGCACAATCTAGGGTGAGAGTGGGTAGCGCAGTGACGCTTGCACGCCGCGTGTCATCCAAGAAAAGAAGGCCACTGCCCAAAGCGGTGCATCACGATAGCTTTTTGTATAAACAGAAATGACCATGATCATGGGCAATGACCGACAGTCAGTCCGTAAGGCCCTCAGGCTATTTCTAATCGCTGCGGGGATAGGGGCAAAACCAAGGCCTGTGGCCTTTGAGCGCTGCTTCAACTTGAATGAACGAAGTAGATAAAGGATGCAAGGGGTCCTAATGGTAAAGTACTGAAGAGTAGACTATGTCAACCAGGCCGGTACGCCGCCTCACGCTCTTCTGCTAGATGAGTATATGTAACTCTACTAGACTTCAGAAAAGGTCCGCCTTCATCCTCATAAAATTGACGAAAAAGGGGAAGAGCGGGATTCTCAACTTCACCGTTTCACACTTGAGGGACTTTCAGAGACATTGGAAGGCGTACAGAACAGATGCGCGTGTTGCAATCTCTAGTGACCTTGTATTGAATCAGCAGGCCTGTGAAACCACCAGGACACCGTTTTGTCCCTTAAGCGAAGGGAGTGCCTCGTGCCTCGTGCCTCGAATCGTCCTTGTGACGGATAATGGGCTTTCATAGAAAGTGACCCGGCTCCCATAACGTGGGCCCGGCTCCTTGGCGGGCCTTCAGAAGCCAAAGCAAAGACTACGAGAAAGGAGCAAGCAAACAAGCGGGCTCTTCAAAGCTTGCCAGGAAACATGCAAAGACAGACTGTCCTCGCAGTCCAAGGCGCATCGGGTTAAAGGTAACCAATATCTGGGTACAGCCAGTGTGCCCGGAGAAAACATCTTCATCGCCGCTGCAAAGGGAGGCGTCCTTGTATACGCAAGCTAGTGTCAAGTAATCACGATGCAACACAAAACACCGCCCAGACTCAAACGTATTGGACGACGAGGCTGACCTTGGAACACTTGCAATACTCGGCGTGATCTAACAATCACACCATGTGAGACGCAAGCTGAGCAGTTGCCCGTATTAGGCTTGAGGAAACCAGAAATTGTGCAGAGGGTATTAAGGAACGCCGACCTTTGCTGTGTAGGTCGTCGATCTACATGCTAACTAGCCTGGGCAAGCAAAGCTCCCGGTGCCTCATCACACCGACTGGCTTCTGTCTTGACAAACGACTTTTCAATTCATGCGTCGCTCTCCATGGCCAGAACGCCGAGAAAACCTAGCGAGCGTGCACGCGGGCGGTCGTAAGAACCCGGCGAGAAAGGAAGGGGCGTTTGAGAGAACTCCCCTAGCCTAAGCTACTGCTCGGTGACCCTTTGTCAGCGGCATCAGAAGAAATCTGGAAACCCACGTACTTGAGCACGGTACTGCCCACGAGGATTGCCTCAAAGCCGCTACAAAGCCGATTACATCTTTTACAGGAGGGCTTAACGAGTCACGAAGCACACTTATCGCCTAGAAAGGTCCAAGCAATCCACGAAACGCAAGGTCGCTCCTGGTACAAGCACAAATGGCGAGCACGTACCGACTGCGGCGTCGAGCCCCATGAAAGAAGAATTTGCAATGGGTTTCCATAATGAGCCCATTGATTATCACAAGCGGCACTTTTGGTGACAAACTTCTCGACATAGTGGTCGACGTGCACATTGCTGATCGTGGGGAGTCGAGACTTCTTCACAAGCCAGCGCATACTCTTAACTACTTTCCCAAGTTGGGTCAACCGTTCACAAAAGTCTGCAGGGCATACGACAACGGGATCACGTACGGTTTTTTTGTGGCTTGAGAACGTCCGTTACTAGACGTTGGTGTCGCACGTAGTGCAGCAGACGGTCTTCTTCGGACATCGATTAACAAGCGCGAAAGAAGTACATCGTTGGCATCTCTAGGAACATAAACGTGCTGCGCAGTTCGCAGACTGAACCCGGTGATCCTGGCCTCCCACAGACTTCATCATAGTCGTTCATATGAGGCTGGAAGAAACCAAAGAATCAATGCGTTAAGGCTAACGTAAGAAACTCCAACCTTAAATTGCGTAACTCATAGATCCAGATGCTTAATCTTCTGGGCAACTACAGCTCCCACTATCTCATCAGGGCCACTGAGCTCCCTCTCTGGTCAACGACTTTGGAGTTTATGCAGGCTCCATGGTCAGAACGCTGAATAAGCAAAGCGAGCATGCACGCCGGCGGGTCAAACAAAAAGCGGGCGAGGAAGGAAGGGGCGTCTGCAAGAACCCCCCTAATCCAAGGCCACTGCTCGGGTGACCGTTTAACAGTGGCTCAGATCGACTTCGGAGAGTCCCGCGTCCTTGAGCACGGCACTGCCCACGAGGATGGCCTCAAAGCCACTACAAAGCCAAGCCACTACAAAGCCAACTGCAGCGTGTTATACAACATTAGCAAATCATGAAGCACACACTTCTCGCCGAGAAACCTCAAATTTCGTGAAAGAAAAGCACCTCGGAACCACTTGACGGGGCACGGCTTTTGGAAAATCAACAACCCGAGTGAAGCGAAATCATCAGAATAAGCAACCGAGCGGGCTTCGAGGACTGCCATCAGAAGGGATAGCCTAATGCAATGAAACTAGCAGACGGAGCAGCATCAACCGGTGTCTACAGTACTGGACACCACCATCTGCCCAGAGAGTGGAAGCATTCATCACCGCAACAAAAAGGACGTCCTGGTATACGCGGATGTCGAAACACGAAGAGGAAACACAGAACACCGCCCAAAAACTGCAGGTGACCTTGAATTTCCTAGCACGATGTGCAAACGGTAGGAAGGAACACCATGTGAGACGCAAGGTAAGTAGATTCCCGTAGCAGGCTGGAGGAAATGAGAGATTGAGCGATGTCTAGGAACGCCAAACTTGGTTGCGTGTTTCATAGATCCGGAAGCCACTTTCTTGGGCCAACTACAGCTCTCAGTATAACATGAAGGCCACTGGACTCCCCTTCGTGTCAACGACTTCCGAGGTTGTGCTCCAAGGCCAGAACGCGAAGTAAACGAAAGCGAGCGTGCACGCGGGCGGTCGTAGGAAAGCGGGCAAGAAACGAAGGGGCGTTTGAAAGGACCCCCCTAACGTAAGCCATTGCTCGGATGACCGTTTGACAGCGGCTCGAGTTGACTTCTGAGAATCTTGCGAAGCTGAGTACGGTCCTGCCCACAAGGATTGCCGCTACAAACCCGATTTTGAAAATATTTTTTAAATAAGGCCACGCGAGTCATGAAGCACATACTTGAAGGCTAGAAAAATCCAGACAATCCACGAAACGTAAGGTCTCTTCTGGGTCGAAAGCCCAATACGATCACAAATGCCGAGCACATAATGACCGCGGCGTCAAACCTTGCGCGAGAGCAATGGCAATGGGTTTCAAGAATGAGCCCGTCTTTTATCATGGCCGCGGTTTCGGCAACACAACTAAGTATAACAGAGTGGTCGACTTGCACATTGCTGATCGAGTGGAAATTCCTTCACAAGCTGCATACTTTGACTACGTTCCCGAGTTGGGTCAATCGTTCACAAAAGTCTGCTGGGGATACGACAAAGGGATCATATTCGTCTTTCGTGGCTCAAGGAAAACACCAGTGACTGAATATTGGTGTGGCACGCAACGCAAGCGGACAGTCTTCCCAAGCTCTTAGTCCAATCAAGAAACGCGAAAGAAGTGCATCGTGGGCATTTCCGAAACGCAGACGCTCTGCGCAGTTTTGCAGACTGATCAACAATGATCCTGACCCCCTACAGACTACATCATTGTCGTTCCTTGAAAAGGCTTTTGCGGTCAACCGATTCGTGGCCGCTAGGCTTCGGCTCCATAGCACGGGCAAGTATCCGGGTGCCAAAGGATGAATGACATTACGCGGTAAGCGGGCAGGCAGTAACCACGATGTTGAGTCGCAGGGCCTATACCGCACGAGACCTTCAACTCTACTTCTCCTCCTCGCACGCTAGCTCAAAACATCAGGACATGCACAGGCTATGGAGGAGGGCCCTTCGAGACCCACCGACTGAAGGACTTTGATCTTATACCTGGAGTCTGTATCCAAAGCAGAAGCTTACAAAGAAAAGCGGCTCAACTGTCCCACAGCAAACTATTGTCAGCATCTCGACAGCCCATTTAGACATCATGGCCGCTCCCATGCGTCCTCGCAATCGGTGTCAAGAACAGATAAGGCTTAGCAAGTCAATCTCAAGAAGCGGGGATGACGCGAACCAGAAAGCTGAACGCTATCAACACTCAAAACATTTTCGAGCGCATGAAGTCGGTCAACACGGTTAATCACAGCGGACTGGATTATGGCGGATCTAGATTCGCTTCTCAGCATTTCCTTCTGTTTTAACACTTTAGCAACTGCACAGGCTAGAGTCAAAGACCAGATGAATCCTAAGATGGATCCTACACGTGGCGCTTCCGTTCGAGCACCGTTGAACATACTTCGGCTGCGGCCTACTGCGTTCTTGCAGCATCCGGGAATCGAACCAAAAAAGAGTCCTGATCCAATCAAGTTCCCTCGAAAATGACAAGTCTCATGTGCACTCTTGCAAAGCAGACAACGCTTCCGATAGCAAGTAGGCTCACCACTGCCAAGCGCTCTGGCGCCCGAACTTGATCCTACGTCGCGCGGCTAGACAGACCAGGTAAAAGATTCTCGCCATAGCTCGAAAATCGAAAGTAGTTCGTCGAGTCAAACGAGAAAGAGGGTGCCGAACTCAACGCAACGGCCACTCCTTCGAGTGCTCAAAACGTCGCACGCTGGTTCTCAAGACGGCAGCCAAACGGTTACATGAAAGTCTACACGCAGTGTGGCCGAGAAAAAGACCAGTTCAGTGAACTCACACGAGAAACATGGTGCCAAACGCGATGTACAGGCACCGCTCGAAGTGCTCCGGCCGGCGCATGCTCCTGCGCAACGACGGCAGCCCCGCGTGCCCCGACAGCGACACAATCATGATCCCCGCGCCGGTTGGAAGTGACGCCGCCTTGACGAACGTGTGCTGATGCGCGCCGGTCCCGGTCACTTGCGCCGAGTCGGGGTCCAAAAGGAGAGCGCCCACGACGACAGCTGTCAGCAGGAGACTGGACGAGACGCCGGAGATGGCGATGCCGGTGAGGCGCGAGAAGCCGCGAACCCAGATGGACGGGAGGACGGCTGCCAGGCTGCCGAGAATCACGGAGTGCCTGCGGAACGAATGTGACACGTGTCAGTTCTGAAAGCACTTTGAGTCGGTTATATACGAACGGCGGGAAAGTCAAAGAAGCTGTGGAGCCAGATAAAGGGGGACAGCGGCAAGACTGCCGAGAATCACACAGTGCCTGCAGAATGTGTGACAAGTATCATCTTCAAAAAAGGATTACTCTGAGTCAACTCGAACGGAGTCGAACGACAGTGAAAAGGCAAGACCAGGGAATCAGATGGAGATGAAGACGGCGGCCAGGCTGCCAAGAACGACGGAGGGCTGCCGGCCAAAATGCACAAAGATTGACCACGGCAGAAGAGACGTTCCTTTCGCAACTTAGAGACAAACAGATTGCGCAAACGACAAAGCAAGTAGCTATATCGAACGGATAACGGTGGATAAGGTGGGCAGAATTGACTTCTTGGCAAGTAAGGGAGCCGCTTGTATTCGGAAAGGCAACTTACAGCCAACGTGTTTGGACCAGGGGTGGATATCGTGATTATTTGTTTTTGGTCATCGAAGCGACTCTCGACTTTAATAACACGGATCAATACGGAGAAGGGAAGGAGGCAAGGCTGTCGGAAATGACGGCGTTACTGGACAGCAACGAAACAAGTCGGTCTCTGAAGCACTGCAGCTTGGATACCGTGCAAAAGTCGTCCCCATGGAAATCATAACCGGCGACGGGCTGGGTTCAATCAGCTGAGCAGAGATTAATCTGTGTTGCAGGGAACTGAGTGGCACTTGACCCGCTTCCAAGGGTTACCAAAGACTACAGGGCGCGAAAACAGAGACCTCTGCCATTGCGGCAAGGATGATTCTTCCAAATATTTTGAGGTCGTTAGCAGACACGCACATGCACGTGACGTTTATCGCATGGCATCAGCAAAAGACTGTCATTGAGCAGTACGTTTGCTCGTTCCTTGAAACATCTTCGCCAAGACGAGAAAGTCATTGATCAGTTTATCTTCAGCAGATGCTCGAGATCATTCTTTCATCATCACACTTCTGCTCGTCTTATTATCAAGCAACTATCGTTCATCGTTCCTCCTAAGGCAGCACAACTTCGCATGTGAAAAATGCACGCAACGCATGTCAGGTGCCGAGGCTTGATGGCCTATCAGGTCTTGAGGAGTATGATTCCTTGCAGTCAACGAATTGTTGGAGACACAGTGGCAAAAGTCGAGACAGAAGCATTAGAGACTATGACCCCGCACAGCGCGCACCAGGACCGCCGGCATGGGGGGTGGAGTAGCATTGAGACAAAATGTAATCATCGCCACTCATGCTAAGAAGTTGATTGACAGACTCATCAACGAGCCTCTCAACAATTTACTACCAGACAGCATAATTTTGAGCTCTCCTAAAAAGTACGAAAGGAAACCAAAGCTCGTGAAAACACAGAGGCTCAGAGGCTTGAGATTCTGCTTCTGTACGGGCCTGGTGAAATGTCGGCTGACGTTGGAAAAATTGTCGCAATGCGTCTCAAACGCAAGCATCGAGTGGCTCCTCATGGTCAACCTTGAAAAAGTGAGCACCTTGAACAGGTCTCTCCGGGCACGGTATGTTAAGCAAGATTGGTCTACTTTTGGGTGAGAGATGAACATGTTGTGGAACTACATGCTATACTGGCTGCGAACCAGGGCAGCTTAGGAGTGCCTCCGTTGCATCTTAACTCTCTTTCCTGCAAGGATACCAGGTCTGCCACACAAATGACAAACACCAGACCACAGATCAAGCCGCAGTACTGCTGAATCAGCGACTTTTGCAAGGTGGCCTCAAGAGTGAGAAACAGCGAATCAGCGAATCAGCAAAACGCTCATAGCTCCGCTCCCTCATGGTCGTCACCCACATGAGCTTGACGATTATTTCCGAGGAACTATTCAAGCAACGGCTGAAAGGGTTTCCCGGCCGCTCATTCCAGTCAGACAGATTCGCAAGAGGAAGTGCTAAGTGCAGTCAACAGGCGCGACAACCTTAGAAGTCCAGCCCGGGGGGCCTGTCCGATCAACCAACTGCTTAGAACGAACTCGAAAAAGCAATCACAAGCCCGGACAAAGTTGGCATCAGTAACGCGCAGTTCTGGCAGTGAGCAGATTGCTCAATTGCTCATATCCTCAAAGCCGTTCATGTCGGAGCTTTCGTAGAGGACAAATCTCGAGGGCCGTCTCAAAGGCCATCTTGGGCGGATAAAAATTGGAACAACCGAAAGAAGATGAGTACGTAGCCTTGCAGTGCAGGCGACAGAATCAACAAAAACAATTCAAATTTAACATCGCCCGCGGACACATGCAAAACAAAATGAGCGGCTTTGAGCAACTTGCATGCACAGCTTCTGACGCGTCCAAAATCTTGATGCGGCAAGTTGGTTTTCCTTTAAGCGACAGCCAGACAATAGCCCTGAGGCTGAGTACTCAAATTCACCTGAAAGAGTAGTGCACCTCGCAACCATGACTTCATAGAACGATCTCTACCGCCGGCTGAGCAAACAAGCCCATCATATTGCCCATCATGGCCAGAGTTTATTGGATGGCTTCGTTGCGCAAACCATTTGAACTCTTCAAGAAGTAGAGAGCGCGAGCCGGCAAGAGACGTAAGCGGGACGCACGTCCTTCTTAAAATCCTTGTAAATGTTGTCGGTACGGACATCGTGCTCTGGGCATAACTGTACCGCTAAATGCAAGGCGGATTGGTCTTGACCATCCCCAAACACGCAAGTGCCCTGGGAAAAAACTGTAGATCCAATCTTCAAAAACCAACGCACGGGAAAGCCAGTTACGAAGCCTTGTTTGGTGCTAAAAGATGCTCGCTATGACCATAGCCGCTCAAAGTTGTTGGTTTGCTGGTTGGGAAGTATGAAGCGAGAAAACAACTTATGGGACCGCTGGACGGGAGACTCGCGTCAAGATCACTGAGACGTTTTCGCAATACGCGAAGAGAACAAGGAAAGCTGGACACGAGGTTGAGCATAAATTGAGGATGCTGTAAAGTCCGAGAACATTAGCAGCCTCTCAGGTGGACGCAATTGAAAACAGATCGCCGACGCCTTGGTGAAAGATCGGATGTTTGATCAATGAGGCGGCCAGACATGGGGATGCATACAGGGAAAAAATGAAGCCACTTACAAGCGGCTGTCAGGAATCTCGTTGAAGCCCGGCCTTCTTCCTCTACTTTTGCAGTCGACTAGCAATCGGCCAGGAACCAGCACAACGCACTCTCAACAAGGCGGTACCTCTTTACTGTAACCTTTGCGCCTTGAGGTACTAGCCGTGCAAGGAAGCTCGAAGCTCCGAGGCGCCAGAAAACTTCGCAGCTATTCGTCGAATCGTAGAAAAAAACAGGACCATCTGGTATTCCGAACGAGCGATTCCTACATTCCTACGGCCAGTAGAGCAGAAGCAGCTGATTCTTTCCGTGACGTTCTCACAAATCTGGCTTCAGCGCGACGACACAAGACACACATGAGCTTGTCTCATGAGTGATTGATTGATTGATTGATTGATGTGGTGCTCCCTGACATCGCAACGTACACACAATTTGACAACACTTTGGCGTTCAAGACCGTCGAAAAGGCATGACAGCATGACTTTAAGACGTCTTGGGTCTGACCAGAGCACGAGTATGACCGCCCGACCTCATGACGAAGTAAGGTGCACAAATAGACGCCAAGCATGCCAATCTATTATGCACAGAAACCGTCAAAGTTCCTGCTGTGATTTCCAATTACTAAACTCAATTACTAGCTGCAGAACTCAGACGACCAGACTCGTTGATCTGTGGACAAGTATGCGGCCTCTGAGAAAAGCAAGGTCGGACAGGTGAGCACCAAGGCTCGCGTCCAAATTCGTCACAGCCGCATCTGCTTACAACAAGACGAGATTTGCAAAAGCACGAACGGTCTTTCGGCCGACTATGTGCAGGCCTGGAGGAAAAGGGCAAACAACATTTTTCAAGTCAAAAAGGTCCATGCCCTAGTGTGAGCCGCTCTGCAGATTCCTGGTTTCTTGCAGGTGTTTCAAATAGTGGCTTCCGCGATGTAATCCTAGATGAGCACGTTGGTGCTCAAATGCAAACATCCTCATAGCCTCTGCCCAACCGTGCATGCTCGATCAGTGTCCAAAATACACAACGTGATGCTTGTCATCGTTTGACTACGCTTGGGTCTGATCCGTTGCGGTAAGTCACGGCTTTTACAGGTCAATGTACTTCAACAGGCCTCATGAAATGAGGGGGAAAATACCTGTGGGGAATGCTGCTCTCGTAGAAGACTGCGCGTCTGAGCGCCTCAGATTTGATTCACCAACAACGGTCAGGCGGTGAGCTCGCAGCGCTCAGCCTTTTCTAGTCACGACCAACGATGTTAAGAGTTGATGTATTTCCAAAAACATCAATGTTAACGTCCAGGCTCGACGGCAGTACAGGAAAGAGAGATGTTCGGAATTGGCATCGTACCTGAGGGGTCAATCTCCATGGCCTCAGATTTAAGGTCTCCGAGAAGACATCAACATGCTTTGACAGTCGACATGAGCAGATCTCAGAAGATCCTTCCATCGACAAGTACCTAGGTTGGTTCAAAGCGGATCACGTTTTATTTTTAAGAATAAACTTCAATAGCGTTCAACTGTGACTGCGGGAGGAGTATGATTTGCCTCACCGCAGCAGAAAAGGAGATCGTTAAATTGGGACCTAGTCAAGACCTACCCGACCGTTGAGGAACGCAGATGCCCTTTGCCTTGCTGACGTCAACAGACAAGTACAGTCTCTCGCGCCAAAGCACGAAGTACAGCCACACATCATGGCCGGGTACAAAACGGATGCACGGTTGCCCAACCATTAGGAAGCGGAAGTGGAGAGGTCGCAAGTCAGGGCAGAACTTCCGCATGGACTCGCTCAAAGTCTTGAGAATAACTCGAGCAACCCAATCCCTGGTATACCAGCAAAGTCGGGCTTCCCTCTTCGAATACTTTTAGGATGAGCGAGCAGAAGGTCGAATCGAGTAGTGAAGACGCGTTTACAGCAGCGGCACTGCTGGCGAAGTTCGACTGGCACAGCGCACGAGTCTTGGCTTTTGAGCAAGTCCGTCGAAAACACTCGCAACGCTCATCGTTGTTGGCTCTCCTTGGAGTAACCCATTGAGCGATGACTGGCCAAACAAGGCTCGATCATTGCCAAGCAAGGACAAAAAGGTCTCGGAGAAGGCCATGCAATCTGACAGCGCCCCTCTGTAAGAAAGACATCGGTCTCGACGTCCAAAGACTGCACCAAATCACGACAAGCTCTAGCATGCCGAATCGAGAAGCAGGGACACCAGGACACGGATAGATTGGAGCTGCTGAGCTCGCTTTCGACAACGAGAGCTCTTTGCCACAGCGATCGTCGCCTCGATTGACATGCACGACCAAGTCTCGCGTTCACCTTTTACAACCTGAGTTTGACAATCACTATCATTTGGACGATTTTCTTGTCAAGGCGGGAGAAACACAAGAGATTCAGGAGAGTCCAGTGCCCCTTAGAACCAGGCATCAAAGCTGGACGATAGTGAGTGGACGGAGTGCCCAGAGCTTGGTTTCGTCACAGCCGAAGATCCAAGAAGCAACTCTCTTGTCGCTGCGAACGTGACACGTTTTACGACAGCGGGGCTACGAAACTTCACCAGAACAAATTTGCAAGTTACCTGACTTTTTCTCCTTCCGCCAAGCCGCAAGAACAGTGTTGTGAAGACGTCCGGTGTTCATTCGTAAAAAGACGGAATGCGCTCACGTCGATGCGACAAAATCACAGCATGTCAAATTTGTGCTTCAGGCGTCCGCTAAAAGATGGACATTTCCTTGAGCAGGTGCTCAATACTTCCATCATCATAACCATCAGCTTTTGCTTTCGAAAGTCTGTCCTAGTAACAGCGGCCTGCAATCCATTCTGCAGCTTTTTGAGATTTGAACTCTTAACCCTCCTGCGATCTGATTCTTGGGAGGGCTCCCTTGAGCACTGAGTACGACGTGACTTCACGAACATCTAGATATGAGCGAAGTTCCTTTCATAGCACGTCTTCAAAGTGCGGAGCGTACGATTCGCTACTGCTTCAAGTGAGAACCGAGAAGAAGACCCGTGAATTCGAGGAAGAGGGAAAGCTCAAAGTAGAATGCAGAAGCTGCTCGCCTGCCCAAAAGACTTTTCTTTCTCAAAGATCCTTCAGAATCCATTGAAGGTGACCTTCAAGCACACTCTTCCAGAGAATTTCAGGTACGTCAAGTTTCAAAGAACAGTCCCACAGAAAACATTGGTGGTTTCAGCAGCGATAATCGAGATCAAATCGCCTTCGAGGACGCGAGACAAGGCTGCATCACGGTCACAAATAAGCAGCAAATCCTGTCTCACCAGAACCTAAACAAACATCTCTCCTCAGAGACCGACCTTCAATTAAGGAATCGTCGATCTGTCGTTGCGCAGAGAATGTTTTCAGGACAGAACGATGGGAACAACTGCTGTGTCAATGAAGGATCTTTTAGCCAGACGTTACGTGGACCCAAAAGGAGTATGCTAGGTAATGCAACGGTTTGCATGCGGTCTTAGTAGACGGAGCAACCTCACGGAAACGGGAAAACACATTTGACAGAGCACGAAAAGCCGTGCACTTCCAACCAATGGTTAGTGTCCGCACTGAATGCTGCGGCTCCAAGAAGCTTCAAGAGTGAACCGTTTTGAGGCGTTCAGGTCCATTTCTCATCATAACCGCAATTTTGAGCCCCTAAGAATTCGGAGTACAAGGTACCTCTTCCGCTGATGCCAACGTATCAGTAGTGGAAACTGTCTATGAGGACCCGAGGATCCAAATACTGCTCAGAGCAGCAACAATCTACACCAGAATAGACAAGACGTGATCCGACACCTCCGAAAACTTCCAGGCGGAGGAAATCCCCCACGCATAAAAGGATCCAATAAGCATGTGCTAATTTTCACGCACAAACATAACCAAAACCAAACAGCAAGAGCACTCGGACTGCCCCTTTAGCAGCAAACAGCATTCTCAAATGATTCAAGTAAAACCCCACCCACAATCAGACATGCGTATCCCCCTCAGCTTAGTGCCAAGCATGTGCTTGCCAGGGCAGAAGCCTGCCACGGCTGCAAAACGTCGCCGCGACCGAGCGCCAATTTTCCCTCATCTCAAATCATCACGAATCAATACAAAGAAGCAAGAAGAAGAAACGGAGTGAGGTTGTCAATCGCTATCAAACTGAGGCTGAGCGACAGGCTCATTTCGGGCATGCACACTGGGAACAGCATCGCCACCGACTGCCACGTCACCATTCGATTATTCAAGCCGGAATAACAAAGAAGGAGTGGGAATAACTAACTCCTTACCTGAGCGACAGGCATGTGCCGACCATGCACAGCCCCGCCCCCGCTGGGAACAGCAGCGCCACCGACTGCCACGTCACGATGAGGCACATGCACGCGGCCCCGAAAAACTCGGTGAAGGCGACAACCAGGACCGCCCATTGGCCCGCGGCGCCGCACGCGTGGGACCCGAGGCCCGGGTAGCTTGGTTCGGCGTTGGGGGGGAGCTTCTCGAACGAGCGGCAGAGGAGCTGCGCGCTGAAGCAGAAGATGACGCTGAAGGTGAGCAGGACGCCCTGTACGGGGGGTATAAGATAGTGTTTGGCGATGGTTAAGAGGAGGTGGTTAGGATCGAGGTTGTTAGCTTCAATGGGGAGCTTCTAACGCAGAAGATGACGCTGAAGGCTGGCAGGACGCCCAGCCGCGGTGGTTGAAAACACGTGGTTAGCAGTGGTCAAGGTGAGGTGGTTAGCAATTGGGGGGGGGAGCTTCTCGAAGGAGGGGCGAAGGAGCTGCGCGCTGAGGGCGAAGATGACGCTAAAGGTGAGCAGGACGCCCTGTCGGGGTTTAAAGAAAAGGTGGTTAGCGGTGGTCAAGCGGAGGTGGGTAGCGGTTTGTGGGGGGCCTTCTCGAAGGAGCGGCAGAGGAGCTGCGGGCTGAAGCAGAAGATGAGGCTGAAAGCGACCAGGAAGCCTTGCCGGGAGGGGGGGCTGGGAACGGCGGTTAGGGACGGTTTAGGACGTCGCATGATGTCAGATTGACTATGTCAACCTCGGAAAACACTCTTTAGTCAGAGACAAAGATGTGCTTGCGAATTTTGAACGTGAACGAGGAAAGCGAGGACCAGAGGAGACTTCGAGAGTTGACTTTGAACCCCTGAACAAGTGCTGAAGGAGGTAGAGAAAAAAACTGCTCGTTCCCGGAGTTGCAGAATACAGTCGAGCGAATGATTCACATGTCAGCGTCGGGCAGAAATTAACACAACGCATGTTCAAAAAGCCGTTTGCAACAGGCAATGCGGCTTCGCGCAGTGGACACGGAGAATGAGAATTTGACTTTGGTTCAGCCAACGTGGATTCTCGTCATTGCCGTCTTTCAGTACACTTGTCTATAGCCACACGCGTTCGTCATACCCATGAGGCTACACTAGGACAAAAGTAACCCAGCAGCGATTGTGTCCAGGCTTTTCACGAAAGTAGCCTTGGACTCGTTCTAAAATACAGACTTCACTCGAAACCAGTACCAGCACTGGCGTCAAATAACTTGAGAAACACTAACTCCGGCCTGATTTATCAAGCATCGCCGAATCAATTTCAGGGCCAGCGAAGATTGCTTCCATAGACACTCAGTGGAAAAAGGCACCCAATGCCCCAGACAAAGGGATCTTTCTCAAGAGGAACTATCCACTGGTACCATATTCAGGGTATTACTCATCAAGAAGCTCTACTCTGCAACTCGCAATCTCAAACCGAACTGATCACACAGCCCTTCATGGTCCTTGCAGAAAAGTTTCTCTCGTCGGGATGCTTCATCTGTTTGGCAAGAACGATGGTCATAACGGATGCGTCACTTGACTGCCTTGTGCACCCTGTTCACAGAAACAAGACTGTGCTTACTAAATGAAAAGGACCAACGGACAAGCGCTTTCATGCCAAAGAGTGAAATGTTCCACCGCAGTTTCCGCAAAGAAAGCCTTTAATGAAAATTCTATGCTTCAGATGCAATTCCTCTCATGCAACGGGACGTGATGCCTACCAGGGCCGCAAAAAAAACATCTTTACTTGCGACTACAGGCAGGATTCACGAGGAAAGGCAAAGAGGTTACAGACAATCTTATATGTGACGGTGTCAGACACCCCTGACGGATTGTGGTCGCATTGTGGCGCCACTGGGAGGGGACTCGCAGGAAGCATATATGGCCTCTTTTAATCATAGCCGTCCAGAGAAATATAAAACCTGTTGGACTCAAGCACCATCCCCAATTGTCCATGATCTGCTGAGATCGCATTCCAATGCTAGCTGCTATGCTCTGGTCCAATTTCAGCTGCTCTCTTAAAAGGCAACACTCCGTACAATGAGTGGTATTGAGATCGCCAGCATGGTGAGGAAAATCAAAACGGGACGCGCCGCTCAGGCTCCAAGAGATTGGCACCACCAACGAGTTGCATAAGATCAAGGCATTGTTGGATTGCAAATCCAAGCAACGGCAACTTTACATGACCACCCGTAGCATCAGAAGAGTCAGCCTCAGAACCACCATGAATGATTCTCACTGGCCAAGGTTCCATGGAGAAGCGCATCGTACGTGTGCATTGATCAACATCACCAGTAGCCGGGTTGAGTATCATGCATTGGTGCAAGACGCCATGCAGCTGAATGTCTGTGCATGCTTCACTCAAGTTTCAAGACCATTGAACGTGGTTGCCAAGCAAGTCACCAATCAACTTCTCCAGCTTGAGAGGAAAGCAGATCGTAGAGCTACAATTGCTCCCCAGAACCCAAGACCCAAGCAGGACAGGCCAGATTGACTGAAACTCAACAGGCTGGCACGGCTCGTAGTGCAGACAATAGTCAGGCTACCTCACCCTTGGTCACTTTCAGAAGATAGATCCCCAGAGGAGGTAAACTCACCAGGCTGGCCCAACCCCCCAGGGCGACCGCGTACCCAATTGTCACCAGCCCCACCCCCACATACAGGTTGATTGTATTGAACACTGTCTGCAACTCGCTCGCCGTCCCCCTCCCCGCAAGTTGCCTGCTGTCAAACGCCTCTAGAAGTTCTAGCTTCATCGAACCGGGCCCAGTGCCCCCATCAGGAAAGCAGCCGACAGGACCGTTCGTCTCTGCTGACATCGGCATGCTCTCATTGTCCAATGCTGCTCCTGACTGCCCTGCTGAATTGTTGTGTTGTCCGCTGTGCCCTTCTTCAGCTCCCAGAAGGGGGTCGTGGATTTCAGACTGGCGCCCATTGGCCATCATGCTGGCTCGTTTGAATGGTCCAACAGTGCTGCGAAGTTAAAGTTGGAGGGTCAATTTTGGAATGCTGTCTTTCAATGCTGCTTCACAACTTACATACTCCTGCTGTCATCAGACTCTCTCCAAGGAGCCCTTCGCATTTGCCAGGGATTTTGAGACAGCGACTGACAGGTAAGCTGAATGATGTCCTACAAATTTACCGAGAAGAGCAGAAGTCTCCTTTTCGGCAAAGGGAGGAGATGCCCCTCGCGACTTCATGCAATAGCCAACTTTGCTTTCAAAAGTTCATTGTTCAATGTGGACGTGAAAAGAAAACAGCATCGGCAAACAAATGAACGAAATGCATGCATGTCACCTGTCTGCAAGAAAGCCTGTGCAAGGAACTAGGCTGGCGCAATCTTGCGCTACACCTCGGCAACCGTCACAACAGTGCGGTAATGCTCGAGCACAAGATTAGGGTTCCTGATTGCATGGAAGACAGCCTGCTGAACATTGTTGAAAGAAAATTCAACTTCAAGCCCTCAGAAAAGGGTTCTGGACGGAGGAAAGGGGCGCCCTTCGGTTGTGTGCAGCTTCCTGCCGCTGAAGATGGGCAAGAAAGATAAGAAGATGGTGCCGGCGTTGGCAGATTCTTCCATTGGCTTAGACGGTGCCGCTGCACTTGAAAAGGCGAAGAAGAGAAAGAAGGACGGCGTCGAGAGTTTGGAACAAGGGGCTGAGGCCAAGAAGTTAAAGATGAGCATTGAAGATGGATTCGAAGGAGGAGTGGTGAAGAAAGAAAAGAAGCAGAAGAAGAACAAGGGGCTTGATGTGAACGAGGAAGAGCCTAGTAGTAGTGCCGTGGTGGAAGAGGCAGGAGAGGTGGAAAATATAGAAAGGAAGAAGAAGAAAAAGAAGAAGGGGCTGAACGTGGAGGAAGTGGTGGTCAATGTACTGGAGCCTAATGGTGCCGTGTCGGCTGGACAGGACACGAACGGAAAGCAGAAAAAAAAGGAAAAGAAGGCGAAGCAAACAGGCGGTGAGATCGGGGGTGATGTGGCTGAGATAGAGAGTGGGGCGGATCACAAAGAAGAAGCTGGCAGTAAGAAGAAGAAGGCAAAGAAAGAGAAGAATGGGCTGGTGGAGGAGACTATGGCAAATGAAGTCTTTGAGAAGAAGAAGAAGAAGGACAAGGGGGCGAACGGGAGTGTTGGGGTTTCCAGTGAAGGGGGAGATCTGGGTTCGGCGAGGGCAGCATTGAATATGGTGGTCACGGGGAGGGATGCAAACACCGCAAAGTTCCGGCCGCTGCAAACGTTTGACGAAGCGAACCTCCCCGAGGTGATGATCCGGACTCTGATTTTAGGGTTCCCCCGTTTCCACCATTACCATGTTGTTTGGGTCTGCCCAATTGTGCACCACCCGCCATCGAGACAATTTTAGGCTGTCTTTGCCTTCCTTGTCTTCTAAAGTTTACAGTGAGTTGGCACTATGTCCTCCAGCATTGTTAGTTCTTAGACTTTTAGGATGATGAGTCAGCTTTGTGTCTCAACATTTTGTGGAGTGCCTTAATCTAGTGTTTTGGCAAAAAAAGGGCTGTGGATATCGAAGTGCATGGGTCCAGCTGGGGAACGCAAACCATCATTTTTAGGGCAATCAAGTCGGCATGATCATTTCAATTGCCGATTCCATTCTGCTCTAGGATGCGCCAACTTCGTCTTGCCCCCCTGTTGAAAGAACTGTACAAGCAACTTTCTACGTCTATGAATTGGACGTATTGAACCTAGTCTGATCGTCTGTCTAGACAAACGGTCCTGTTCCAGCAAATCTCTCCCATGCTTCACGAGCTTTCCCCTCTTTCCTGATTGAGCGCCAGGCTTGGCCCCATGTGGGGTGCTCCTACAATTCAATCCCGTTTTACCTGATTGAGCAATGTTGATCTCCCTACATACGCCCCTCCGTTTTTCCGATTCTGCAAAAGATTGGTCCTGCCTCTGTGTGGCTCCCCAGAGTTTTGTGCAACGTGGACTGACTTCGACTCCAGATTCTGTTCCCTTCTTCCCCCCCAAGGTCACAGACACCCTCTCCATTATACGGGCCCAGGCTTGCGCTGTGTTCCCTGATTCTCAGAATTGAGAATACTACATTCGTACATGTCAAAACCAAAATCTCAGAATCACAACATTCACTTCAAGGCTGTGCTTTATGCCTACCCCGCACTAGCTTCAAGCATGACTGCGCCCTCCTATTTTTCCTCGAAAAGCACTACTCCAATTCAACTCTTGTTCCAGTAGGTCAGTAGTCTAATTATCCCGTCTTATCGTCCAGGTTTTACTCCACGGCTGTGCCGGCTTCGCCTCCCCCTCCCCCATCCAGGCGCAGGCCTGGCCGATCGCCCTTGCCGGGCGAGATCTCATCGGGATTGCCAAGACAGGCTCTGGGAAGACGATAGCATTCGCCGTCCCTGCTCTTTCTCACATCACTAAGCTCGGAAAGCCGCCCAAGTCGCCCGCGTGCCTGGTGCTCGCGCCCACTAGGGAGCTCGCAATCCAGGTCAGCGTGCTCCTGTGGAAAGCAACGTTGAGGTGTCGCAATTCGTTCAAATTGTGATTCAACCCCAAGTTCTAGTCCTGTGATAAGAGAGAATCTTCAATCATCATAGACGGGCCCGTATTGCAAAGATGTTTGAAGCGCACAAGTGCAGACCCCATGGCGTGTGGTCTCCTAGTTCTGGCCCATACGAAGTCGTGACTGTCAGTTGAACACGTTGAAGTAGATTTTCATCAAAGTTCCGGCCAGCACCACGACGACAAATTTTGAAAGCTCCACATCGACGTCTCAGTTTCTTCTCCACTATCACCCTTCTGCAGTCCCTCAGAAGAGGCACCACTGATGCTTTCAATCCTCTCCGCCGGCAAGATACATAACACCCACATTCTCAATTGACTAGCATCTCTGTCTGTAAACAACACACTCAAACTTCCAACATGCAGATTTGGAACAATGCCTTATTTGCATCGTGATTGACTTCGTTCCTCTCCTTCTTCCCACCAGATTGCGGAGGTGTTCGAGAACGCTGGCAAGCGGTGCGGCGTCAAGACCGTGTGCGTCTACGGGGGGGTCCCTAAGGGCCCGCAAAAAGCGGCGATTCGGGCAGGGGCGACCGTCGTGGTTGCGACACCTGGCAGGTATGCCGCCGGCATTTAGACAATTTCGTCTCTTTTGTCGGTTCCACGGTCCAGCCTTTTCCGAATGCCAGGATCCAAAGGAATCATGTTTTGAAGGCCCCGCGAATCTAGCTACAGTCAGTCATAAGGAGCTAAACAAGGAGCCGTACTGAGTCCTTTGGCTACGAGCTGTCCCTAGCACAAGGTTGATCTTTCGTGCATTTCACTCTGCAAAGGGGTGAAGCTTGCGACATCTTAACAAGCTGTTGCAGCCGTTCCAGCCGTTGTGGTATTCTCTGCATACCTGCTCTTTTGAACAAAGTTTCGGAGCATTGGCAGGATTATATTCGACGAGGTTCGTGCTACAGTATGCTTGACCTGAGTCGTGGTTGCTTGGCAGGCTGCGAGATCTGGGCAATGGAGGCGCATGCTAGTCAGTTTTAACCTGGTTCTAACTGGCTGGTTAAGTCGTTCTTAACCTGCTTCGTTATTCCCTGGCAGGCTGCAGGATCTGGTCGATGAAGGCGCGTGCGCCATCGGGCAGTGCGGCATGCTTGTCCTCGACGAGGCGGATAGGATGCTGGACCTGGGATTCGAGCCGGCGATTCGGAAGATCATTGGGCTGCTGCCGAAAGGTGCGCGCTTATCTCTCTGTTTGCGTTTTCTGTTCATTCCTTTATTTCACCATCCCGTACGTCTCCTCGGAGGTCACAAACTATGAGCTTTTGCTCCTCGGACTCTCGTTGACCTTTGGTCCAGCATGCTAAGACTCCCTTGGGTTTCGAGTTATCCGTCTTCAAGTTTTTAGGAACACAACATGCAGTCTGATCAGACTAGTTTGATTTCACGTGATTCCAAGAATGGGCAAGACGGACCTGCAACACGTCCAAACATGTCAAACAAGGGTTTCAAGTTGGATGGCCTCGACATGGACGTTCCGCTTGCGGTTGCATACCTCACAAGATGTCCAACAGTTTTTCTTTCTTGGCTGATCTGACGTCGCAACTTGGAGGAAATTGGATATCCACTTCTTTGTTCCAAATTCCCCTCATCCCTTTGTTCCTTTCTTCCTTTGAAGTTTTTATTTTCCTCGTGCGCAGCCCACCAGACGTCCATGTTCAGTGCCACGTGGCCCCCCGAGGTGGCCAAGCTGGCCGCCGAGTTCCTGAGGGATCCCCTCAAGATCACCATCGGGTCTGAGGACCTGACGGCTAACCACGACGTAACCCAAATTGTGGAGGTGTGCGAGCCGACGGGGAGGGAACCGAAGCTGGAGCAACTGCTGAGAAAGTACCATGCGGACAGAAAGTGAGCTGCTTATCTGCATTCCTTGTTCTGCCTTTGCACCTTGTCTTTCTCAGGGACAAGGTTTGCATGCGATCTTGCAGCCCGGAACGCGTCACCCTAGGGTAGGAGGAACCTACTTTCGCATCTTTCAAGTCGGTGACGCAAGTCTGAAAAGTTGTAAACGTTTGTCCCGGATGAGTAGGCAGTCGCTCTGCTGAGTCAGGTCTGGAAAGCCATCAGAATATGGCCACTACAGAGAGTTTGAACCCCTTCTTTTCAACCATTGGAACGTTTACGCTCGTCTTTGTACCCATCCAATTTATGGCAAGGATATTGGTCGGTTTGATGCCCCACGCCAAGTTGCGCTTTCGATCTGTCTCTTTTGTCTTCGATCAAATCTACGCCCTTGGATAGCAGCACAGGTTAGGGCGCAAATTGGGTTAAGTTTGGCATACACACCAGCAGAGTCCTGCCATTATGCAATTTGCACTTTGAAGACCACTAACTTTGACTCCCTGCCAAATTTCCAGGACGCGCGTGCTCGTGTTCGTTCTCTACAAAAAGGAGGCCGCCCAAATGGAGACCTACCTGACGCGCAAGGGCTGGAAAGCGGTGGCAATCCACGGGGACAAGGGTCAAGCAGACCGGTCCAGTGCTCTCCAACATTTTCGGGACGGCACCATCCCCCTGCTGGTGAGTAACGCTCCCTAGTTTCCCGTCTCAAGAGTGCTAGGTATCTGGCTGTCCATTAGAGCAAGGGATAGGTCAACCTCTGACGTGTTTTGTTTGGGGACTGCGAAGTTTCCACCGACGTGGCAACACGTGGTCTTGGAATCGACCGCAGAAGTCCTCTTCTTTTAGCTCCAGCGACGGTGAAGGACTCTGTGCAAGTTCCATTTTTTAGATTTGTCGTACTTGAGCTCTAGCTTCCAAAGTCGTTCAAGCCGTATTTGATAGTTTTGCGCTGCAGCTGGTCATTGTCGTGGCGACTCGTGCGCTCGACATCTCTGACTTCGAGGCCGCCATGATCTGCAACTTAAAAACGCTACAATGAGAAGGCTTTCACTTTGCAGTTTGCGACTGACGTGGCCTCGACATCCCGAACGTGAAGTACGTCATCAACTACAGCTTCCCGCTCACGGCCGAGGACTACGTGCACTGCTCTTGGATTTCTTTCTAGAGGACCTCGCATCATTTAAAGGCTACAATTAACTGGAAGGCCTTTCTACTGCAGATTGCGACTGACGTGGCGGCCCGTGGGCTCGACATCCCGAACGTGGAGTACGTCATCAACTACAGCTTCCCGCTCACGGCCGAGGATTACGTGCACCGCATCGGGCGGACGGGGCGCGCCGGGAAGAAGGGTATCGCGCACACGTTTTTCACGGTGAACGACAAAGCGCGCGCGGGGGAGCTGCAGAACATTCTGCGGGAGGCGGGGCAACCGGTGCCCGAGGCGCTAACCGCCTTCGGGACGACGGTCAAGAAGAAGGTGAGATTCTGCCTAAGACTTTTGTCTCGTTGGTGTGACCCCCTTCGTTTGGCTGCTGTTTGGTCGGTTAAATTTTGCAGCCGGCAGTTGAGAGCCCTGAAAAGGCGGTTGTCGATAGTCGTGAGCGGTGCCAAAGGCGTTGACCCCTATGGGCATGACGAAAGTGGAATTGTGGATTGAGCTGAACCTCAGCGGTTGTCTCCTTGGTTTGGGTTGTTTCGTCGCGGACTATTGATCAACTTCTGCCAAGGCAGGTGGTAGCCCGATCCCTGGAAAGCACGTTCTGGGCAGTCCTGGCAATGTGATGCCGTTCAATTGCAGAATCGTGTGCTGAAGGACGGGTTCAATGATCTCAGCGTGAAGTGTGCGGTATTGTACAAACCCTCTTTGGCCACGACACTGAACGTGCGACTTGTTTGCGGAGTTTGATCCGATCCGTCCTAACCGCATGTGTGCTGATAATCCCCAACGGGTTGTCAAAAGAGACAATCGCATTGGGAAGGACCTCTTTTTCTTTGTTCACAGGTCTGAGATAATTTGTGCTGAATTCTTCAGTGTGGCCCTGTTTGCAAGACCTCGATTTGTGTATTGCGGTCTCTTTTAGATTGAGCTGGTGTGACCAAGAAAACAATTTTTAGGTTTGTCTCCACGATCACGCTGTTCAGATCTTGCATGTAATGTTGGCTCAGCGGCTTGTTGGTGTGTGCGTGTAGGAATCCAAGCTCTACGGGGCTCACTTCCGAGAGGTTGACCTGGACGCAAAGGCGACGAAGATATCGTTCGACAGTGACGACGAGTAGGTTTATCTTTGACAATTATTGGATTATATAACTCTATGAAGATTTGAGTTTGTAAGGAAAGGTACCTGGAATAAAAGTGGATCGTTATCGAATGTACAGTGTTTTGATTCTTCCCGTCCTCCACTAAGCCAAGTTCCTAAACTTGCAGTGCTGATCATGCAATGAAAAGGAATGTGTTTGCAATATTGTGCGGTCGGCGCTCATCGGCATTGCCTGGCCGGTGTGGAAGGTGCATATCGCGTTCGACTGCCACTGATGATCGGACCGGTCACGTCACTTTGAAGCGAAGAACCTGGCAAAGCTCTACTAGCTAAGCTAGCGTGTGGGCGTCATTGCAGTTTGAATTGTTGTCCGAAAGGCTCCACGCGTCCAGCGAGCATGTCGAATATGGCGCTGATTCATAAGTTGCACCGCTCATATACGATGTGGACGGGCCGTGGCATGCATGGCCGGGCGGGCCACACATGGAGTTGCACGTTCATCATACGTTACGAATCAAAGTTAGTGTATCATACTACATGTTTGCTGCATACATGGCGCACGATTACTTTTCCCGGTGCCGGCCCCTGGGGACGTCGAGCACCGCCACGCTCTCCGCTATAGGCTCGCCCAACCAATGTTGATTAATATACGCAGTGAATATATTCAATTCATTCCATCATGGCATCATGTGCGCCGTTTAATTTTGAGTTGGACGTTGACGTAGAATCAACGAGAAGAATGAGGCATGCCGCGCTGACTTGCTCTGGTGAGCGAGAATTGTGTCAGTACGTTGCTAGCTTTCATTTTTGAGCTCGAATCCAATAAAACATTGGAGGTCATTCACTTCTATGCATATTTAGCTGGCTGACCCATCCATTCCATACGCGGCCAGCGTAACTGCGCGCGCGCATGCGCTCGACAGAAAGGAAGCATGTACTGAACAGCTTAAAAGCTTATAAGCCTCCGCAGATGTTTGAGAACGAGCCGCGCCGCGGTGCCATTGCACAGACCGTCAGATCACGAGTGACATGCCATGCATATGTCCAACAGTGCACTGGCACTGAGTAAACTTCACTAACGCGCCCGCAAACCAAATGCTGAAGAATTGCAGTCCTCGACCTGTCGAAATTGACAAGAGCTTGGAGCATTCATGATTGCGAAGGATTCCTGCAACCAACACACTAGACACTGCGCTTTTTAAGCTGTACTTATATTAAGTACAGACTTGTCCACTTATACTCGATTCTAGTCTTGTCCTTGCCTGTGCAGACTTAAAAGCAGAGGAACTACCCAGAAAATAGATTATATTTGCCGGCCGGCCACTGCATGATAGGCCGAAAACCGTTGACGACAGAACCTATCATTCGCAATAACAAAACTGCGTAACCGACATTTACAGCTGATAGGCAAGCCGATGATACTCAAGGTACACTCCCTCATCGTTGTTCTTGAGTTGAGACACCAGATTCGAGCAATCGTTCATCATCACTTCGGGACCTGCAGGAAACACACAAATCATTTCAGTCATCAAGACCTAGACATTCAAAGGAATCTGAATATCTAAACATGAGTACATCGACGAAGTTGCGAGTTGATCCGATGATCACCCCATTTCCCCAACCACTGAATCATATCGGCCGAAGAATACCAATCAGTTGCTCGCAAATCTGCATCATGTTGGGCCGGTTATTTGTAGTTTTATATCGAACACCCAATGCCACATACGAAGCCAAAACAAACCAGCATTTCATTTGCACAGGGGCACTGCAAAAACGGCAACGGAAAAGAGGAGCTTGGACGAGCGGAGCTGTCATTACCGGCACAGCAAATGGCAACCCTCGTCGAAGCCTTCTCATTTACGATGATGCTTTCGAGGGCAGTCCTGAGGTCGGGGCGCCCCTGCTCGATGTTGACTTCCAGGCCCAACTCGTTGAAGCTGACTCTTGTGGTAGACTGCAAGGAAAGCCAAAAAGAAGCGGTTAAAAACGCGGTTAACAAGGTTATTTTATGCGTCCAAGGGACTGGAATGGATCGCTTCAAACGAACAGGGCCGCTCTCTTCTCCTCGAGCGTTGCCTGACGATGTCCCTAAAATTAGAAGGGCGGCGTCCCCTGACGTTGATCTCCAGCGACATACAGCCCGTAAAAGAGGCCAGAGCGTCGCTGCGAAAAAGGTGACCACGTGCAACTTTTGGGCGATCGCCACCGCAGAAGAGTGCCGGGAAACGTTCTGCCGACGCCGACTTCCAACATGGAGCGCCAATCTTTGTTTGCACGGTTCTACGCCTATCTGATCCCTTCTGTCTGTCGAGCTTGCGTTGCTTGCAAATCGAGCCACGAGTTGCGGCGCGCTTACGACGGACGGGTGATCGGGGCTCTCGTACACGTCCTCAGCGGACGCCAGCTGTGACGCTTGGATGACGTCGTCCCTTCTGTAGCGCAAATACCTGCAAAGATAGTATTAACATAAGTACGCAGACTATGTATCGGCAAACTAGCTTAAAAGTCCTAGCGCTTCCGGGTTCAGAATATTTTGAAAGCGATCCAGACAGTTTGAGACAGGAACCCCACGGGAGCACAAGGTGTGCCAAACAAAAAGTCAACACGTCAACTCAACAAGAATCAAGAGACGGTCCAGTTCGTTCTGCCCGAGTGATTTTGGTCTCGCTTTTGTAACCTGGCGTTAAGTTTTGGACATGGGACAGAGTTCCGGATTTGGCACGAACAGCAATCTCTTTCTTCAGTGCCGGGCAGGGGAAGGCAGTCCATCTTGAATGTCAGCCAAAGGAATATAACAGGGCGCCTTTGCCTTGATCAGAGCAAAACCGGATCATTCCGCTCCGGAAAGTGGCGGACGAGCCGCAGCTAGGCCACGGTTCAAAGCCGGGGTCACAGAGATCAGGAGCTCATTTCCGTACATATCGGAGCAGTTTCCTAACAATTCGAACCTGTTCTCTGCAAATCGACCCTGATATCGGCCCTGAACCGGGGCCTAGCTCCGGTTTTCCCGGAGTGGAAGGATCCGGTTCGGCTCCGGTGTAAAGCGAAGGCGCCCTGTGCGTTCAGAAGTTGGTCACTGACCTGTAGAGGTGCCTGGGGAAAATCACCACAGCTACTGGCAGCCCGATCGACGTAACGGAGAGCAGAACGGTGTAGAACAGACCCGCCTGCCAATGAAGGGCGAATGCTCATTCAAAGCTTCACAAAGGTAGCCTTAACCGAAGCGGTTGTCGAAGATTTCAATCCAGAATCCTTCAGCTGATCCTTGATCAAACTGTGAAAGCCGGAGATCCGTGAAATGGACGTCAAAAGTTTCTATGCAATTGCAGATATAGTCACTGACAAGCTTTGTTTAGTTGCACCTCCTTTGAGCTTGGATGTCGAAGCAGAAAACATGAAGCACTCTCACCTCGGAATCTGCCCTAAACTGAGATTAGTAAAAAGCTGTTCAGAGACGCTAGAAACGTTTGCAAAAAGCGGCTCTTGCTTTTACCTGCCAGTATTTTGGTCTGGTGAAGTACGTCTCCACGTACTCCGAGTAGAAGCTCTGGCAAAGAACCAGGCCACACCAGCCGCCGATCCACGTCATCACGATTACAAGGAGCGTCTCCAGCTCGTTGAAGGACTTGGGCTGAATCGGCCTGTACGTGGAGTAAACCAGGTTAGTGAGATCAGATTTCGATGCGGTGCACATCCATTCGCCTTTTTCGGACTTGTGTCTCGCTTCTTAAAAGCAAAGCGCATTCCAAGGTGAAACAGCTTGACCCATCACGGCAAAACTTACCAACCGGACGAATCTGGTCTCCGCTCTTTCTGTGCCGCGCGTCAGGCGGTGGCTATATTGATCTCCAGTTTCAATACGAGTCGGCGTCGGAACAGAAAGAAACGGAACGGAATAGAACGTTCTCTTAAGAACAACTCTATTTCGATGAAGCCGTAACGAATTCTCACCTCGCGTAATCCCAGAAGAAGCTGGACGCCCCTGAAATCATGACGTCACCACAGCGCTGTGATTCAGCCGGGGCGCTACTAGACTTTCCAGCATCAACGTTAGTCGTCTCCGGCACTTCACGACCCACGTCTACGTTGAATTTGGAGCTTTTGAAGCTTGGGTTCGCCGTTGGTACCGTGGACTCTTCGCCGGTGTAGAAGAGACGGGCGCTGAGCCACTTCTCCCTGTAGAAGACGACAAGAGAGGTGATCTAATGTGAGGCAAGAGGCTTCAGATTAGTTAGAGGCCGGAAGCCGCGTCAGAACGACTCTACACCGGATCTAGGATCAGCGTAGCAATTCTTGATGACAAACTAAGGTGGCGAAAGGAAGCTGAGAAGCAGAGAAGACGTCGCAACTAAAAGTCACGGCTAAAGTTGGTTTGCGCGGATTTATCAGGACGGAGTTCCTAAACGAAGTCGAATGCCTCGAAAAATTCCGAAAAGGGCTTTGAGGTAACGTCACTAACAGCCGTGTGACTGCAAATGGATCTGACAAGCGGAAATGGAAGCCCTTCATATCAGTTCAGTATTATTGAAAAGCGCCTACTCCAACACTTACTGAGTTTCTACCGAATCCGTACGCTTTAGGATGTCAACAAGCGCTCACTGTAACGCGGCCGCCATGTCCCTCGTGAGAAGATGGAACTCCGCCTTGTGACGGGCACACCAGTACAGAACCACGTGCTTAGGTACGTCATCCTGCGAGCCAGCCCCGCGCGCGGAGAGCATGTCTTGCAGGAGCGAGATGAGCGGCACAACCTGTAGAGAGGAGCATAAAAAATAGAGGAATCTGGGCGAAAAGTGTGTTCATGCTCCTACCAAACCTGGGCGGATTGGGTGGAGCCAAGTAACAAAACTTTCGCTCTGTGAAAGTACCTGGAAGATGCGACTACTGTAGGTTCAAGCATGATATACTGTGCACAAAATTCTCTAGCGCTAACCGGCGCGAGCTAAGCATATGCTTTGCGCGAGCCTCCGTCAATCGGAGACACATCATGATCGAGATTTTAGTGTTCAAGGTACTACATGATCACTTTCTGCCGATCAATCTGGAATCCATAGCTCTTTAACCTCTCGCTTTCCGAGCATGTTCTCACGAATTGTGTGTCGAGTTTTTCAGAGCTCCAAAGGATCGATCGCTGAAAGGTATAGAGGGAATTTCGGGGAGTCGTTTTCACCCCAATGCCGCCCACGTGGAGGTTTTTGGACAAGACCGGTAATTAACCTTGCTAAAGGCTGGTTAATGCCCGTCAGTTTATAGGAAAGAAATCATTTCTTAAACAGCCCATAAAAATAATTGGTTTTCGACCGACAAGAAAAACTTCACTCGTGTGATCGACGAGTTTCGGGGAGTTGTTCTCACCCCGATGCCGCCTGCGTAGAGATGGACGACGTCGTATTTGCGCCACTGGAAGGAGGTCTCGCCTCCAAACGGGCCGCTGAGCCGCACCGCCAGTACCTCTCCGTTCTTCAAGCGGTCGATGAATTCCTGGAACGAGAGAAGAGGTTCATTTATCTTCCCTCATACTGTTAATTCGTAATATAATAAGTAGGAAACTTCAAAAGAGTCGCAAGGTGCATGAGGGCCCTCCGTTCGAGCATTCCGCCGAACCCACTGCTCGAGGTCCTAGATTGAGGGCTGCTAAGGCTGGGTCAGAATGAAAACCAAACCGAGCAGAAAACTCTGATCAAGCTAACCAAAGCAATGCGAGACACCTTCAAAGGTGTCTCCTGGATACAGTCCACAGAAGCGGTTCCCGCACTGCGCGCCGTTCGTGCAGGCACACCGTTTCGGTCAAGCTAACCCAAAATTGCAGGCTGGTAACCCATTTTCGCCAGTTCGAAAAATTCTCCTGATCACAGTCTCTGAAAGCGCGTGCGCTACGGCGACGTGACGCGGCCGCGCGCGCAATAGCAACCTGACGCGACGCGTGCGCACCCGGACGCGCGCGCACTCACCGCTGTCCACTTTCCGTAGCGCTTCATGCTGATCAGGATCTCCTGGCTGCCGCCATCCAATGGGCACGCAGAAATCGTATCACCCTTCGCGATGCTGAACGGGTGGTACTGCCAGCGACTAATGTCTGGGAAGGCCACGTAGATGTCTTGCAGAGGGCTCAGCTTTATGTTCTGTATGCACAGACGGCTTAAAATTGGTGCACGCACGTGTTACTAGTCAGAACCGCGCAACGAATTATCTGGGCTCATGAAAGGAAGGTCCAAAAGGGTCGGGGTACGAATCACAGGGGCCGTGGATTACGCCACAAATGACGCAAATGAAAAGTTGCGAGTTAGCAATTCGCGTTACGCGAGGGAAAGTGGGTAAACAGATTCTGATGCGCGTCGCGGAGGCAAAAGGGCCCCCGGAACGGTGGCAGCAGCAGATAGGTTCGAGGGAGTGACGGGATGAAGCAGAGATGTTCGTCAATAAGACACAGAGCTTTTTCACGACCATTCGAGTCTGCTTCAGCGGTATCCGGAGCTCGTCATTCGTCAACCGTTTGGTCAGACGAATCTGAAAGGATGCATCTAACCCGGCAGCTTACATACCTTGTCGACCGAAAGTTTGATCATGACAACCGAGTCTTCTTCGCAGACGCCCTTTGCGATCGCTGTCGACGTGTTCTGGATCTGGCAAAGCCTGACTGCCAGGTCAGCCGCGTACAGAAGCAGGCCTGCGCAGCAAATGTAAATACTTCTTCTCAAACCCAGAAGCACTCAGGGAACAGAGAATTGCAAAAACCGAACTTCGACAAAGCGCACCTTGCGTCGGTATAGATCCTGGTATAATCTAGGCAGGCAAGCTGACAGCTGATCTCGTCTGAAGGCGTTGTACTCGTTGGGAGGACCGAACACAAAACGGCACTGATCGAGCTTTGTTACTTTGCACAAGTCACTCCTGAGGAGATGCAATCATTTCCGGTTTTCGATTTGGGCAGAATTGCTCACCTGGGAGCCAGCAAGCCCACATCCAGTAGTAGTGCATCTGAGCGAAAATGATGAAGCCCACGAACCCGATGAAGTGTGTTTTGTAGAAGAGCTGCACAATCAGCGTCCGACAGAAAGTCTGGTCATGTGCACCCTTTCACAGGCAGGTCGAAAGCATGTTGTGACGGTCTGAGCAATTCAATTTCCAGCTTCTACTTGAAGAGTCCAGATTCGATTCAGCTACATAAAGAAACCCTGCCTGTCCTTTGATCCTGGCAGAGCGATTCTGTCAGGCCGATCAAAGCAAGCGAACCGTCTTTGAGCATTTCTCAATCGATTCGAAAGCAAGGCAAGATGCCCGACCCCGGCCCCTACCTCGAAGTACTTGCGACGGATCCAGTCGAGGGATGTGAACCAGAGAGCGAGTCCAAAGAACCAGGCGATAGAGCCGGCGAAGAGGTTGATGGAATAACGCTGGCCCCAGTCGAAGAACTCGTGGAGGAATCTGGGACAAAACGTATTGGAGCTATTCAGCGAAAGCGCGGCCACTTTTCGGTCACCCGTCGGAAAGCTCTGGAGTTCAAATCGTCTGATTCCTTGATTGCTGTATGCTTTTTGTCACGAAACTATGACAAGTGGAGCTAGAGCAATCGAAAAGACAAGAGACAAACCCAGCAAAGGATTCCTCTGCCAAGGCTTTTTGACTCATTAATACCACAGCAAGCATGTCGAGTATGACACAACAACGAAAGCGAGGGGTCAAGTAAAAGTGAGTCGAGTACGGCTGACTCACTTGATTTCTGGGTTAGCGATCCAGTAGAGATAGTAAAAGAGGGCGTGCGCAGTCGTGGTCCACATGGCCACGTGTCCCAACCACCTGCGAAGAGAGTCATTTTGGCTCTTCTTTTCTGTACAAAGCTTCAGTTGGATCACCTACTTCAGAGTCGCAGGTTCATGACGGCGAAAGGTCTTGAGAAAGGAGCATTCACAGCTCAAATGAACAGCGTATTTGGAGAAGCCCGGTCGAAGTCAATCTTCTACAGCGTGCTAACCGAGTCAGCATCTTCTGATGTTTTGAATTTTCAAGTCAGTTAGAACCGTTCGGAGAACATTGAAGCATGCCAGGAATACTGAAGAGTTGGATAGTCAAAAAGAGGAGAAGTAAGGTTTTTCAGACATCAAAAAAAGGTCATCGGGACATGTTTCCTTTCTTTCTCTGAGCATGTACAAGCATGTCTGTAGTGGAAAAGAAGCTCGCCTGTGGTATCGAATGAGGTGCGGGAAGGGAATGCCGAACATGTAGTTCAGGAACGAGCTGTGGGAGATCGGGAAGAACAGGAGGGCAAAGTCCACGAACAGTATCCAACCCCAGGCAATGGCAATCCTGTAAGGAAGAAGGGCAATTCCCATCAGCTGGCGAGCACGGAAATAGCAAGCAAGACAAAGAAGGGCAGACGGTCAGATTTGTAATAACGCTAGAAACAAGAGAAGGGTCTCGTGAAGGGCCCAAACGCAACTTCAGAATTCTCCGGAACTTTCGATTGTCGAGCAGACTTTGGAAAATGGCGAGTTTTGAACATCCGGAAAGCCAAGTAGACTGGGGATTCAGATTCTCGACGTACCTGTCGAGCGCGTATACGCTCTTGGGTACGTTGTAGTAGAGACCAAGCGCGTCCCCTGCAACAGGATTGAGATGAAATCTGATCGAAGCTACGTTCTTAGACAGGGAAGAGCAAAATTTTTGCCAACTGGTGTAATCCATTTGTACGATGCAGTATTTATAGGTCCTCTCCGGAGAGGTTAAAATTTGTATATCCTATAGTTAATATAAGAGGCCTTTGGGTTGCCCAGGAAACCATATATCAGCAGTATCAACTGATTGTATAAAAGTACCTCCTAATACTTCAGGTATTTCTTTGTGATTAAAGTAGACACGTAAGCCTGGTTTGCTCATATTCTTCGAAAGAATCAGAGAAGATTCGTATAGACTCTTTCAAACGAGAAATAAGTAGGACTTCCAGCATTTTTTCAAAATTCGTCCGAATTATCTGCAGCATGTTTGTCACTGTATATCGACGCCAAAGGGTCAGTTAGGGGGAGCTCAGAGGAAAGAGTGCCTTACACGCGTCGAATCGACCCTGGTAGTAAGTCATGTGGCTCCATAGGCAGACGAAGTGGGCCGCGATCCAGCTCGCGATCAGCAGGAACTCGCTCAGAGACATGCCGGAATAACACCAGAGCCAAAACCGGCGGGGCGGGATTTCCCAGGCGAATATACGCCGGACCTGCACAAGAACACCCTTCTTTTTAAGGTTTTCGCTCTTGATAATGAGTCGAACCAGGGGTTGACCACGTTTTTCTTGGTATAAGGGCAGTTAAGATCAGCCAGAAAACAGGCTCGGTTGAACTTGGTCTCTCTTCGTGAAACGTATGGGCCATATATGAAACGCAGTAAAGCTGAAGAAGGTGCAAGTTGTGCAGTTCGCTTTTTGCACGGAATACTTTACTTTCAGCAGCTATTATGTACACAGGAAGCGGTGCTGAATATGAACCCGTTATGCTGGACATCTGCTGCCATAAAGGTGCCAATCGCAAGCATCTAAGAACCGACAAGTAATTCCAAACAAGGTCCGCAAAACGCATTAACCTGAAGCTCAAAGTGCAGACTACAGTGACCCGCTCAATAGCCAAGCTCATCATTCCTCACCCACTCAAGTCCTTCGTGGGCGGTTTACCCAAGTACCATGTTTTTGTAGTCTGCCCGGGTCATCTCTTTTTTTGGTAGCATCCGAGCGAGGGAGATGCAGACGGCGGCAACTAGAGGCGGCGCGATGCAGGTGATTGCAAAGAGGGCGTCCCAGCCGTAGACGACGTAGTAACCTGGTTCCATCATATGGTTCCTGTGATAGGAAGGACAATCACCTGTTCAGAGTCCCGTACACACGACCTCAGCAAAGAGGAACAGAGGAAACCAGCCTCTGAGTATTTAAAACTCTCATGGACAAACCGCTGTGGAGGTTCAAACACGGAGTGATCTTATAAAGCCTCTTGATTCGGTAAAGACAATTTCGTATGTATCAGCATCTTGAGATGAAGCAAAGAGTAGACCAGTTTTTAATGTGAGTGGATCCACTAGAGCTTATGAAGACAGCGTACAAAGTGCCTTCACTTCATTAGAACGCCCTTGACAACCGCCAACAGCCATCAATCTGCAAGATCAAGTGAGATCTGCCGCCACTAGCACTAGATCAGTGTTTGAGCGCGGAAACCTTGCGAGCTTTAAAGGACGCAGTAAGCCAGATGTCTTAGGAAGAAAGCTGATCAAATGGCTGCGATACTTGAGCCTCAGCCCAAGTCACTACTAGCAATAGATCAGTGTTTGAGCTCGCAAAGCTTGATAGCTTCATTAAGAACGCAGTTGTACAACCTCAATCTCATCTGACTTAGAAGAAAATATGATCAAATGGCTGCCTTACCTGAGCTCCAGCCCAAGTCGCACGTCTTCCCAGAACTTGCCCTTTATGTGCACCCAACACCACGTGGGCAGGTTAAAGGTGATCTGCCAGAACACGAAGACGAGCACGCACGCCCAAGCGATTGCGATCAGCACCGAGCGCAGGATGCTGCAGAGTAGCAGCAAACCGCTCGAGTGTTCTCTTGAGGGAAGAACCTCCCCTTTAAGGTTCTCCATACTGCTGACTGGCTGGAAGCCTCCGCTTACTGAGCTGGAAGCAGCCACCTGCAGTGCTACAGTGCGTTAGATTTATATTTAGGAGCTGCTGAGCTGTTCAGCACTAGAGGTGGAGTACGTTCAAAAATTGTGGTTTGTCATTCTGAGCTTCTCTAAGCACCAATTTTGGAAGCAGCAATGCTGACGGTGTGATCGCTCATAGCGCAGAAACGTAACTACCTACTCCCAACGGAGAGTGTGGGTGAACTAAGAATCGAATCTGGAAGGTTTCCAAAAGTCGCAGACGGATCTAGGTCAGGGAGCTACCTCATGTTCATGTCTTGCTTGCAATAGGGTACTGCAGCAACACTTCACTGCCTCTGCAGCCTTTGTTAACGGTGAGGTAATACCACTAGTACCTGCATCTTCTCTAAAAGAAGCCTCGTCAGCTCATGACGACTCACTCTTCAGTGGAACACGATCGATATTTACAGATTGCATGATTGCCGTAGAATGTAATGGGTACTCTATCTCTAGTGCTATCAGCTTCCGGATGTCGCTGTTTGCACGGACATGCTCAGGTTCAGATGGTCCGTGGAAGCTAATACAAGCACCCATGTGTAATTGGAGCGTGTAAGGCGATGCCCAAATTGTTTTGACCTATGTGTAGCTAATTTTCTACGGCGAATAAAGATCCTAATCATGCGGAAGGGGGAACATGTGCAGGTAATACTCATGCAAAGCGGGCTAAAGAGTGATACAGATGTGACGATAGTGCGGGGGCGCAACTCATAATGGCGTATCACGTTTGTGCTGTAGCGCACCTAGTACGGTAATATGCTCATTGCTCACAGTTCTAGGTTAGCTGGGTATCTAGAAAGGCTAAATTCTAGGTAATAGCCTTGAAAGGCCGGACGGCGAGTTCATCAGGAGTTTAGCTGACAATCTTCAAGGTGCGATCGTCAGGATGCAAGTCCGCATGTCGACATCGTGCTCAGAGTAAGCATGATCATAATGTCCCGAGTGCGAGCCGACGACCGTCCGACCGCCCAGGCCGCTTCTACCGACCCTCTGACCGACCGGTCGTCAACTCAAGTCTGGGTGGCCGAGCGACCGGTCCACTCAACCGAGAGGCCGCGGTAGGCATGGCCTAATACCGTACGTCAGAATGAGCGGTATTAGCTCGGTATTCTACACTTTCCGACCGCTTTTACCGGTACGAACGCGAGCTGGACTCTCGAGTCTGGAGTCTGGACTGTGGAGACTCGACTCCGCGGCAGTCTGGGGTCCAAGCCCAGCTCCTACTGTCCCAGGGGCTCCTAAGAACAGCTCGGATCACACTAGATCCACTGGTGACTGGGGTATATCATACCTAGCTGGGGTACTCGGCTACTCAAACCACAGGCATAGCCTGCGCATGCAAAAGCTATTAGCTCCAGCTAGATCAAAAAGAACGGCTCGGTTCTGTGTGATAGCTAATATACGTTACTAAGGCCGGGTGGTGTGCGCAGTACTCTTAGAACTAGTCGGCAGTGCCCGGTTGGGGTCTTTCAGTATGATCGGGGTGAATTTGAAAGATTACTGATTAGGCATGACCCCGCTAGTCCTAGATCCTGACTGCTCTCAAATATTCGCTCAACCTCAGTACTAGTCAAGCTGTTGACAAAGACCAGGACGATGTAACACTGTAGTCTGTGTAATACGTACCCTGGTTGCTTATCACCGTACCTAGCTTGAGGGAGAGCATCTTCATTAAGGTACCCGCAAAAGAAGCTGGGCCTCAACCTCTGCTATCGTGGAGAAAGAACAAAGCCTCGTTGGCCTTTGCTGACCAGGTTCTTCCTACACAAGCTATCCTAGGGTGCCTAATGGCTGCCCCACGCTTGAACAGAGCTCTCCTTCTTGTCGCGCTTTCGGCGGCCTACTTCGTTGCAACCTTACCATACCCAGCTGCTGCCGAGCGAAATGCTGCTGCCCCAAATGCAAACGAAGTTCTTCCAACTCCGGTCAACGTGGAAGAGGCGTGCACAAAAGAGGTATTCCACAGCTTGACACACCACTATCGCAGCTGCAGCCGGAGTTTCTTTCATGTTGAAGACCCAGGTGACGTGTGCCAATCTGAGAAGCTTTGAGTCACGTCCTACACGCCTCGGTCTCAGCAATGTTCGAGGTTCAGAGTTCATTACACCCAAATCATGAGGTGATAAGCTGTTCTCATCAGCTAGGCAGTAGTTCTTTGCAGTCAAACATGTATGCTAGTCGACTTGAAGGAAAGGGTTCCAAGTTCGAATGAAATGGCTTGCCTTTTGGTGCGCAAAGCAATCACACGTGTGCTACTTGTTAATCTGCTGTTTTGTAATCATGAAAGGGACTCAGATCTTGCAGCTCCGAGCTGAAGTTCAGTAGATGGCATTCGACTGAGGCTATTAAATAGGAGAACTGATTTCGGCAGCTGGCCGCATGTTACCTTCAGCGCAGCTAAGTGAACTCGTTCTTCTCCATGTGGCATGCTAGCCACCGTGCCACCAAAGGAAGGGACATCAGATGTGGATCTCTTTGAGAGTGCTGAGCTTGAGCAACCTTCACAACGTCCTGGGGATTAATATTGTAGCACATAAACAGGTCTGTGTCTGTTGACTGCTCTTTCAAAGCAGCGCCTGGTTGTTCCGTTGCCTCAAGGTGAGCTGTACCATATTGCAGTGACCAGAGACTTCTTCTCTCTACATATACTAGTACTGGGCTTCTGAGCTGACGTTCTCGTCATCCCTTATTCTTCAGATGAAGACTGCTGCGAGGGACTGGCCCACTTCTACGGCCCCCAGTCGCCGATGCCCTCCCGCAACTGCTTCTGTGACGCGACGTATGCCGCCTGGTTCACCAAGATGTAGGTGTTTGAAAACCGTTCCTACTACCTGATGGCGACAGCGTTCAAGGTTTGCAAGTAAGTAGACGCTGCCAAGAGCATGCTGCAAAGCAACGAGGCATCTTTTGATCAGACTGCTTTCTACCAATGAAATGTACTAAATTAAAGTATGGGGACTGCCACGGTTTCAATCTACAGATAGAGCCAAATGTCGAACTTAGGAAAGCAACACTTCCATACTCATAAAGTCTTAGGTAGCAAAGAGGTCTCCCAGAAGAAAGAAGAGAGCAGCCCTGCAATTTGCGTTGACCTTGAATCTGTTGAATCTGTATGCTTGTATGAGATTATCAATCAGTGGCGTCTCCTTGCGCTTAAAGAACCGCACTAAAGATTATGTTAGTACTAAAGTTATATCCTCTGTTCGGCGAGCTGCATCGACCCAAGTAAACTGTTATTTCGGACTCCCTCAGTAAGTTGTTAGCTTCTTCTCTACGCTTCTGCATCAGAGGCTTCTAGGGTTCGCAGGAACGCTTGAAGCCAAGTAAGAGTCCATCGAGGTGCCCTTCTAAACCGTATGGTCGTGCTATCTCCCAGCATCTAGTTAATGCCGATCTTCAAGCTCTAATCAGGGACATGAGTCTGCTTTCCACGAGAAGCTTTTGCACTCAACTACGATTGGTCAAAAGGGAGCTGTCGAAACACTGACATGAACCACGTCCCCTTTGTTAGACATCATCCAACGGATCACAAAGCGGAACTGGTTGATGCTGACTTCATCCTGTGTTTTCAGGAACTTTAACATCACCGTTGGTTACTTTGACGACGGGGAGGGCCCTTGCGCGGGGAAAGAGTACTCCGCAGAAGACGTTGAAGGGACGTGCATCAATTGTTACAAAGACGGGCCACATGCTTCCCTTGCAGACTGGCTATCCCGCTTGGATCAGGACTGGGGGATTGCGATGTCGTTTGCCATCTTCTGGGTTTCCTGTAAGCGGTTTTGGCCCCGAATTATCTGCCCTTATTTCTTGCCATGTACCTACGCTTCATCTTACTGCTTAGACTGCGAGAAAATTCACAGAACTCAATAGCGCGAGAATGTTGCAGGGGCTGTCGGCTCTCTCAAAATCAAGATTGGTCTTAAGTGGTTCCTGTACATGGTTCATGTTTTTCAATCGACTTTTGGAAGACTTCCGTGAACGGCGAAGTTCTTTGAGGCTGAGTGCTGGGAACTTTCGTTATCTTACTCGATAAAAGGTAATAGGCCGGCGGCAGATAACCAGCAAGGTTGGTGGCGGTGTAGTGAGAAGTAAACTTCCACATGCGTGGACCCCTGCGAGATCTTACCCCTTTTCTATGATTCGTGACCTACTAGAACTACATGAGCTGTTTCTAACGGGTTTATGTTCCTCAAGAACCAGCTCTTCTCGTCTAAAATCCTAGCGTTCGTGAACCTACTAGTGTAAGTTAGTGTGTCTGCTGCTAAGTACATCTAGACTGGGTCTACTGAAAGTAGAACGAGGCAGTAGTCGGAAAGAGCTGCACTAACTCCGTTCCTGACGTTTGCTGTGCAGTGTTCGGCTGCATCATCCTAGTGGGCTCCTTGACCCTGGACCTCGCGAAAGACGCCCAGAGGGTGGTGGCGAAAAAGATGAGCTGAATCATCATCATTAACTAGCGAGGTACTTGAGTCACGAAGAGCATTGGGCCAAAACCAAGAAGGATATGTCAATCTTGGTCCAGCTCTTGACCGTTTAGCGCCTGTCGAAGAACGCGGCCGTATGCATGTCCCGCATGCTTGTTGACACTAGGACGGACGCATCAGTGTCCAACTCTATCGTAGGACATTGTGAGCTGCCAGAAGCTGTCTCGATTGTACAGCAATTGAATTGAATGTACTCTGGCCGATCCGATCCATGATAGTTCCGGCCTGCCGGCCTAAGGAATGGGCACGTACTCGAGGAGGTTTGTACGCCCAGAATTACCTCGCAAAAGCTTTCTGACACATGCCCGTGTATCACACCGGCGCTCGCATGGAATGGCCCTAAATCGTATGACGCCTAGCTAGCAATGAAGGCGTCAGGTGCGCCAGTGGTCGGCCGGCGCGGGGGCGCGCAGTTTACTGTATATACACCGTACTAGCTATAAGCTACATATATGCAATGCTTTATGATGAGGATATATCGGATGATGCATCGCCTCAATAAGATCGAACTCAAGGGCGACTGGCATGGCTAGCTAGCTAATGATCCGAGCAACACTCAGTGATTGAGCCGGGCGGGCGCTTCATGCAAGCTATAGTAATGCCACCGGCTGAATTGCACATGCCACACATGATCGAATAATGGTGAAGCATCGCTCCGACAGAAGAAGTTCTTCAAAGGCCTCTGTCCTACTTTTGTTGAAGACTTGACTTCAGGATTGAACCAATGGTCAGACGCGACCGAAAATGTTAAACACAAGATTTCAAGCCTGGTATAGAAGGATCAACGGGCAGCGCACAAGCGCAGTTCCCACGCAGCTGGTTCTTGAGTTGGATCTGCTGGCATGGTTGAGTCGGTTTCTCGCCAATTCATGCAGGCACCTTGCCGTTGACCATACACGATAACATGATTGGGAATCCATGCACGATCTTCCACTGCCACACTACATCTCGAATCGAATCAAGCTACAAGCGATGCCACGCATGCAGAGTGCAGAACCTGGCCAGCAGGATGTGTACGCAAGCCGAAGTACTCACATATACATCCGTGTCAAAGCAGCACGTGCGCCAAAAGCACCTTTGCACACGATCAGGCATGTATCAATCACGCGGGAGGAGGAATCGGGACTGAATGGCTTGCTTTCAGCATTCGATAAAAAAACGTGATGGTGGCATGGGGCCTCTAAGACAACCTCTGAGCTGCCTCCTTTGCGATCACCTTTTCTCTGGCCTTCGTCTGCAGGAAAACAGATAACGGTGTGTCAAGAGCAGGATCAAAAGAGTGTCCCTACCCAATGTCAGATTGTGCAATTAGGTATTGACTTTTCCTTCAGGCATGACATGCCAAACGTGACACTTTTGCAAGCGCTTCAGTTGCGGAATTCACTTTGCGTCAAATCGCCGTTAAATCAATGGCTCATTGCACCAAGAGCTCTCGTTCCACGTTCTCCAGAACAGCCTAAACGACGTCTCAAAAGAGTCAACCACCCAAAATCTTGCAAAAACGGCATTGCTACGACTTGAATCAGTGATGCCGCCTCTCCATAGCTTATGGACTCACACCTGCACAATCCTTCTCTGCCTTTTCCGAATGCCAACGCAAACGTTGATAGGGTCACACACCCAGAACTGGATCAAGGTGCAAAAATGATTGAGACCCGTTACAATCGCCTCACCTTGGCCTGCGACTTGACTCCCATGATGCCACCGCCCCATGACCGCCGGAACTCGTCGAACCGGTCGTTGAAGTTGGCCTTGACCGCCTCCACAATCTTGCTGAACTCGTGCTTGTCCTCGTTCTTCACCGACGTCAGAGCGAGCGCGGTTGCCGTCTTCTTGTGAACGACCTGTGGTGACAACCCGAGCGGATTCAGTGTGAGTAATGCATCAAGGAAAGGAAGTTCATGTCGACGTCAACATATCAGACCCTACCTCACCGCTGATACGTGGCAGCTTGAACGGACTTGCATGTCCGATTGCACAAGCTGCGGTCGGGACGAGGATAGTATGGTCTGGTTACAATCGCTGGTGAGAGCAGCGAACCTGCGATACTGGAAAAATGGAAGTCCCCTAAGCTTGCAAAACACTTGACGTTAAAACCGCTCGCTTGCTGTCCTCTTTGGAACCCACAACTGCAGCCCTGTACTTTAACACCAGATCGTGATGATCTGAACGCACAATCCATTCCAGTCTGTGGCCAAAGCACACCTCCTCTGCACCCGCCAAAAAAAGAGCTCGATGCATGGCACGGAAGAGAAACAAGCGCAGCGACTCACAGCTCCCAGGCGAGCCTTGCCCTTGACGATGGCGTACGGCACGCCCATCTTCCGGCAAAGCGCGGGGAGCCACACGACCAGCTCGATGGGGTCCACGTCATGAGCAATCACGACCAGCTGCGCCTTGCCCTGCAAGAGAGAAACGCTGTCGTCAGGACGCATAGCCATTGAGGGATGACGAAAGTCCCCATGAGTTTTATCCAGAACAGAACAACCTTTTGTACGCTTCATTCAATCGTACTGTGGACCTTACTGTCAGGCGCGGTGCTCATTGCTTGCGACAAATGGTTGTCTTGACGGGAGTGTAAAAGATAGAAAGCAAACACGCCTGCCCTTCCACAACCGTCTCCTCAACACGTGACCTCCACATGATCCTCCTTCCCCGTTCTTCAAACACTACAGCTCTGACTTGAGCTTTACATGCACAGCCTACCGATAGCAAAAATTTCAAAGTCCAACGGTACTTCTACCCAAGATGGGTCCCAGAAGTGTCCCGTTCGAGTGCCCACTCTCTGATGGGCCCGTCAAATTGACAGAGTTTTTGCATCGCGGGATTGACAGGCTGCGAACCAGAACAACCTCCTTGTAATGAGGAGTGCTTACCTGCTCGATGAGGTACGTGATGTGGTTGATCCCGTACTTGACCACGATGGGCTTCTTGGACTCGAGCGTCTTGCCGTCCGCCTCTGACTGCGCCTTCTTCTGCAGCCGCTCCTTCTTGGCCGCCTTGTCCTCGGGCCGGTACTTCAGCAGCAGCTTGAACATGCTCGTGGCTGCAGTTCAACACGAACTTGAGGTTAGAACATAACCAGAGAATACATTCATTCTGTCAGAAGAATATAACCCAGGGTTATGATCGAAACCAGAAACTCCCAGGAATACGGTTCACGGGCCTCCTTGTCCTCAGGGCGGTACTTCAACAGCAGCTTGACCATGCTCGTGGCCGCAATCCGCTACGAACTTGAGGTCAGAACACAACCTGAAAAGTCAAACCTCCAAAGTCAGCCGAAAAGCAAAAGGATATGTAGGAAAGATGATCACAACTCCCAGGAATACGGTTTACTAGCCGCTTTGTCCTCAGGGCATTACTTCAGCAGCAACTTGCACAGTCTCGTGGCTACTAGGAGGAACAAAACAAGCAGTTTGTAAAACAAAACCCACACCTCAGCAAGAAACCCAAACCAAAAGTTCAAGGATTTCGGACTTCAGGAACAGACCTTGAGATCCTCGATCAAGGGTAATGAATTACTTGTCTAAGGGAGCAGTTCAGCAGCAACGTCAAACAATCATGATTGCAAGAAACATTTCAGGAAATAATTCACCGGACAGCAGAATGGGAGTACTTATTGGTTCTGCATAAAACCTTGCAGACGGAAGTTGCCAGGGAAGAAGAGCGTCTAATATGAAGGAGGGCCTGTCTAAAGTGGTGACAGAGACACAAACAAAAGTACTGGCCAGGATTTGTCCTCCTTAACTCTGCAATCCATTCACAACGAAGTAACAGACAACACTGACCAAATAACTCAATGGCAAGTTAAAACGTGCTGCCACTCCCAGATTGACCTGGAGGAAACTTCACAAAGGAGCAAGGCACTCAGTCTGAAGATTTCTCCACACGAGCGCAGTTGGCATACTGCATTCGGCTGGTTGATCACTGAATGACTCATCATCGTGCCTGCTCCCAACCACCTTCCATGCGAGATCTAGCTAATGTTAGCCCTGAATTTATTGGCCCTCTGAGGACAAACACACTGTCGACTGAGTACGCCACTATGCGGTTGGTCTCTTCCAAATGCCTGCCATAAACATCCCACGGGGACGCCCGTACAAAACCATCAAACCACTGGAAAGTACAGCCGAAGTCAAATCAAGCTACCAAAGGACAACCCGAGCGTCTTCATACAGCTAGGCGAACCATCACAGGTGTGATTACAACTACCACTGCTCTCTGGAGGAGATTTGGAGATGCCAAGGATCATAAAAAACCCCTTTTACACTCCTATCCACCACTGAACTACTTGTTCCCATCTGTATGAGCTGCCTCGGGGCATCTTGTGCCACATCGATTCCATGTATTCTCACATCCACACACCAAAATCAGACACAGACCAAAACATCTATCTGAGGAGCCTCACCAAGGTTCTTGTCCAGGGTCTTGGTGAACTGGTTCAGCGCGGGGGGCACCTTCAGCCGCTGGTTGAGGACCCTGCGTTGCCTCTGGATGCGCACATACTTGGGCCACTTCACAAACCGGTGCAGATCCTTCTTGGGGGGGATTGCGCCTCCGATGCCAAAGCTCTTGGGGCGCTTCTCAAAGAGAGGGTTCGCCGCAGAAGCCGCAGCCTGGGCCAGTGCCAAAAAAGCGGCTGTGAGTGTATCTTTCAATGGAAATCTAGGTTGCCACAATTTCCTACTTTGTTTGCCATTATTTTGTTGTTTCGCAGCCACATCCTCGGTTGCCCGATTGCCTAATTCGATGAAGCGACCAACTTGGTTCAAATCTTGAAGTGCTGAACCTTCGACGACGTACAGCGAAGGCGACCGGCCCGCTGTCTCTTTGCAATCATCACTTTTATGCGAGTAACTTCTAAAAGGCAAAGTTTGCTGCCAACCGCCCTTTGAGAGTGTTCAATTTGCTGGCCTTGAACCTCTTTTGGACGACCCCAAACAGCCTGGGTTTTGGTAGGCAACGACGACTTGAATGCCATTGAAACTCCATCGATGCTATACACGGCGCTTTGTTCCCCTTTCCTCTCCTTCAACAGATGACACAGGAAGCCCTAAAACAGCATATACAATCTCATTGTTGCCTTGTAAAGGCACTTGCTTGTTGACTACCGTACGAAAACTAGCGCGTGAGATGTGTCCCGTTCAGGGCACAACTCGATGCAAGAATGCACCGCTCCAGTTGCGCTGGGAACAAAATATATCGAAGTGATTCTGAACCTGCAATAAATCCTGGCCGATCGCAGAACCTCTGTTGCTGCGTGTTCTCCAAGTGACTCAAGCTTCTCAACTCTGATGCATACAGAGCGACCATTAAGATGCCCAAGCATCGGAAGGAGCATCGTACCTTCTTCTTCTCCGCTGCGGGTGGCGGAGCCGGCTGCTTCACGGTTCCCCTCTTAGGCGCCTGCCAAATGTGCAAGCACAGCGTATGAGTACATACTACGACGCAGGGTTTAGCTGACTGCAAATGTTTGACCGCTGGGATCACCCTAATTAACTTGAACCAAGCGACCAATAAGCACCCCGGCCCCTGAGAAGGCGCTTGCATGTGCACTAGCTAATCGAGTACATGCCCGTTACCGCTTCTGCGTTGCTACTCGTCTACATGAGTTGCAATCTGCCCCGGTAAAGGTTGGCCACATTTTAACAACTATGCCAAGTGACAACCATTACCCCTTGTAAACAAGATTTATCTGCGCCTGCTCATTTTCCTTGGAGAGTATGATTAACGCTCCAGTGTAGCCCGACCATTATCAAAGATGTCGATCGACTTGAATCTAGCGGGTTGCTCCATGTCTGCTATGCGCAATCTTCATCCTCAGACTGCTCAGGGTTGCCCCATCTGACTCAAGAATAGACGGCTCTATTTGAGAGCAATTGTCCTCAGTGTCCTTGCTTACTCCTCCTCCTTCATCTCGCAGTCATTGCCAAGCATAGTTCGCAACCATGAGCAATAGGTAGATCACAAACATCTAAAAAGGAAGGCCCTTGCATCGTTCTCGCTTCAAGGCTTCTTTTCGTAACTACATTAAACAAGGAACATGCTTGATTCATAATCCAGGGGTGTTTAACGGCCCGCCTCATCTCAGAAGCAAGCACTGACACACACCAGATTTGCAGGATAGCCACGCGGAGGAGGCACACATGTAGGAAGAGAAGGAAGAGGGAAGGGCAAGCCAACTCACCATTGCGACGGCCCCTCCGCAGCTCCTCTTGTGCTGCCTGGACGCGTGAAAAGGACCTTCTCTCTCGCTGAGGAGAGACGTCAAGCTCCAGTCTGGCGTTTCGAAGCTTCGGCGTCGATTGACGTACGAAGCACATCGACTCAACAAGTGAACGGGCGTCTTGGAGCGGGAATCGACAGTGCGAGTATCGAAAGTGCCAATGCTAGAGCCGGGTTAGGGTCTGTAAAAGGGCAACCGGGTTCTGACCCAGAAATTAAACTCTAACCTCAGAACGAGCCAGCCGTCCGATATCAATGAGAACACATCTCAGCTGTTGGAACTTTTGACTAACCCAAACTGTCGAGCCTCGGTTAGGACCTGTTAAACCCAAGGTGAAAAGGTCACGACTAGCTAGCAACATGCAAGGCGATTCCCAGTCTGTTCCAGTCAGACTCGAAGACGAGCTGTTGATCACAGATCAGAGGCAAAGTTGGAGTCTTCAAGAAAGAATTTGAGTTCAATGGCATTGGAAGCTTTCTCGAAAAAGGTTGGAGGAATTTGACATCCACTGATGCAGGGCCCAGGCCAATGTTTGGATGTCTGTTGTAGCAAGGAAGCTGGACGATCCGATTGAAAGTCCTGGAAAAAAGGTTACCTGCGTAATCAGCAAAGTTTACAAACTTTTGATGTTTCAGCTGTTTTTACTACGGCGGCCCGTTGTTTCTGGTAAAGAAGTGGTACAGTGACGGCAAGGAGTTTCTTGGTGTCCCGCAGACACCAGCATTTGCTGAGAGCTCTGCACTGAAACATCGTAAACAGGGACAGGGGGCAACTATCAAGCATTTGATCTAGCTCTATTGACCCTGAATCAGTCAAAATCATAGAAGCCTTTTGGATCATCATTTTCCCAACCATCAGATTTCTAAAAGACTTATTGCTAAGAAAAGGTTGCGCTCTAGCTTTGGCATTGCAGCCAGCCATGCATGAGCAGAACGGAACAGCATTCCGACACTGACACTCAGCACTCATTGATCCAGTTTGTTTGACAAGGCTTGCTGCAGCAGTGTCAATTGCAACAATGCAGGGCAATGGACCAGGCTCGTCTGAGCCATTTAGCTTCCCGTCAGTTTCAATTTGCGAGCAGATTGTGACACAAGATGGGGATGTGCATTGGGGCCCTCCGCAGAGGGGCGAGCTACAGATTGCTCGGGACGCTTCGTTTGTCTTTGTGGAAGAGCAGCAGCGGCAGGGGCTCCTTAGGGGGTCGTTGGCAGACAACAATCTGCAGGTATGGCATTTTACCTTTGAAATACCATCTATGTTGCTCATCGTCCATTCTGCGTCTGCCGTTGAATTGGTTTCCCCTCTGATCAACGCAGGGAGCAATTCTTTTGATGGCGGCAGGATGCCGTAGATAAGCTTGTCACTTAACATTTTCTGCTGAAGGTTCCTGTTTGTCTAGTTCCTCAACTGTCCAGCATTGAAGTTATAGAGACAAACACAACTATGGTGGTAGCATTCACCTGAAATGTTCCTCAGTCTAGCAGAAATGACTTTGGCATCACTTTCCCTTTTCTGCTTGCTTCATGACGTGTTAGGCCCAACACCCTCATGTAGGCTCTGATCGACTGAAGACATTCTCCAACTGGTGATCCAGGGCATCCAATGTGATAAAGTCTTGCAAAGTCCTTGCACCGACATGGTCACTCTCCGTGTTGCTAAATCAGGCTTTCCAAAGCCAGTTTTCAATCTCGAAAAAGACGCTTCTGCATGCAGGTCCTAAGAGCTGGGCCCACTCTCCAGATCTGGTCTATGCCTGCGGCTCAACAAGCCGAGGTAAAGTCAAAGAAAGCGATGCCTTTCCACTTCCTATTCTCTCTGTACTCACCATGGTTTGTGTGGTGGTGCCTAAAAAGATATAGATGCTGACTGTGCATGGGAAGGCTTTTAGAAGGTGACATCGATCGAGTGGTCCTGTCATTAAAAAGTTGACAGATTGATAAGTTGTGAAAGTGACAACTCAAAATGGTGACTTTGAGAGGTGAAAATCTGGACTATTGAGGAAGTCTGGATCAGTGCACCACCTGCTGAAGGTCTGTTGTTGAAAATGAAGCAGGCCTAAGGCATGCCCTAAGCCGCTAGGGCGAAAGTGCATCGGTTGAAAGGATTGTGGTAAGCCAGGATCAATGTCGTATGTAATATTGAATACTATTTGATAAAAGCAAGCTGACCGTGGACTTCAGGCCAAGCGATGCTGTAAACCTTGTGTTGAGCACTTGGTATTTCTCAATTACAAACACATGAACCAAAAACAAGGACCAAGACTGTGGAGAGTCAAACTACCAGCTCTAATATCCAGCTTTTTTTGTCAAGTTCTAGGCTCAGGAAGTTTCTTACTTTAACAGGCCCGAACCATCCTCCTGCGATTGTCTTCCCAAGAAGCAAACGGGCGCCTTTGGACTCTAACACGTGAAGCGCAGCCAAAATCAGCTGGTGAGATTTGATAATGGACTTGTCACTTGCTTTTTTTAAGCACCCCTGGAATTGTCGCTGCACGCCAAAAGGATCAGTAAGAGTAGATGCTTGTTTCCTTGTCAGCATGTCCAGCTTCACCACTGCGAATGTGGGTTTAAATTGATTAGAAGAAATATGATGCGCTCATTCCGGCGGTTTTACTCCGCAGAATCTGTTGCCTCCTTTGTGAAAGTTGCCATGCTGACCTTGCTTATGGCTCTTAGAAAAGGCCTCAGGATGATGATACGTTCTGCTGGTGTCCATTCACTCGAAGCGTCTCTGTGTTTCTAATATTGTCGAAGGTAAAGAAACGATTCTGTTTCATAGCGAACTGTGTCAATACATACGCTTTTGGTTGGTTGAGGGCTGTCTTATGTCTAGGCAGCGGCTTGTGCCTTCTTCATTGCTTTTTTTTCCCCCTGACCTAACTTCTGTCTCTTAATTTGTGAAGCCCGTCTTAGCTCGGTTTCTACCTGCGCTTTGTTAGTCTGTCACCATCAAACGTTTGACTACTAATATCACTCTATGGTGCCTCCAGTGGCATTGGGCGTTTGAGGCAAGGGTCAATTGTGAGCCAGTGTTAGTCAGCTCCCAAATTTGTTCAATGTTGAGAAGCCTCAAAGGTCTAGGAGGGGCTGTCGTAATTGCATAGAGCTGGCGGAAATTTGTCTTTCTCCAATCTCTTGAAATGTCAAGCAACCAATTCCAACCTGTTTTCAGGGGATGCCAAGGCAGGGAGCGTGTTTGAGCAGAAGATCGAACAGGCATCGGCCAAGATGTACTTCCACTACTACGGCCAACTGGTGCATCAGCAGAACATGCTGCAGGACTACGTGAGGACAGGTGGGTTCCGGGAATCTGACTTCGTGCTCCGTTCTTGCTGCACCACCTTTGACCTTTAGCAGGATTTCAGGATAGCCATTGATATTCCTCATCTGGGGTAGCTTTCGTTTATGAGAATAGATATTGCACCTACCAAGCAGAACATTTTGCAGAATTGTATAGGACAGGTGCGTTGCATCATCGTGCTAGACTCAATCTCCTTCCCCCCTGCCGGATTAGATTCTGTTCTTCTCTGCTCACTCTAGTTTCTCTGCGGGCACTGAACTCGAGAACTGAGCGGACTTTAAAAGGAGAATTGTGGTGGAAGTGGGGTCAAAGACCCGAGTTCTTTTCCTCTTCATCTGCCCTCTCTCTATATGCAGGCACCTCACTACTGTAGAAGCGGGCGAAAAGAATGTTCTGTAGTTGACATGAGCGCAGAGAGCAGATTCGATTCCCGTTTCCCTGGCTTACCCTCTAATACCTCTGTTCCGCTCACTCTTGTTTCCATTTTTGCAGGCACGTATTACGCCGCTGTTCTTGAGAACCGAGCGGACTTCGAGGGGAAGATTGTGGTGGACGTTGGAGCGGGAAGCGGGATCCTGTCGCTGTTTGCGGCGCAGGCCGGTGCCAAGAAAGTGTATGCAATCGAGGCGTCCGACATGGCGCAGTATGCGACGAGGCTGGCGGCAGGAAACGGGGAGGTCGGGAGCAGGATCACGGTGAGGGTGCTTAATCCTGGTTCGTCTTACCTACGTGCTAGACAAATGCGAGGGCTCGTGCTTCAAAGTTAAGACTGTCGATATATGATGCGGCTCGCTGCAAGGAACGGGGGCGCTGGGAGAAGGATATTGGTGAGGTTGTTCGATCTCCGACCGTCTTTTCTTTCAGTTTCAGAGAATCAAGGGTTCGCTTTAGGGTTGACAGTTTAGTATGTGAAGCAGCTGGCGGCGGGGAACACGTGAGTCGGGAGTAGGATTACGGTGAGGCTGTTAGACGCTGGGATCGAATGTTCATTCTACTTCGTTTTCCGATTTCAATATTGTGTTGGATTGTGGCTACAGTTTTTTGTGTGGAATCTGCCATGGCTGCCCTGGGTGGGCGGCAAGGGGACTAAGCATCCAAGTAAGCAATCTGTTCCGACACACGCTGACAAACGGTTTCTTTCCGACACTAGCCTTCAAAGGGGTTAAGTTGGAACGTTTTCTGGGACTGGGCAAACAGCCGTATATGAGGCAACAAGATGGCAGGACAAAAAGGTTAGCTGAACTTGATCAAATGCTACTCTGCAGGTTGTGCACGGCAAGGTGGAGGAGGTGTCCATTCCGGAGCGCGCGGACGTGCTGATCAGCGAGCCGATGGGCACGCTGCTCATCAACGAACGCATGCTGGAAACGTACATCATTGCGCGTGACAAGTTCCTGCGGCCAGGGGGAAAGATGTTCCCGTCGCAGGGAAAGTGAGTGGCGTGACTGCCAAGAGGAACTTCTTAGCAATGAGTTTTCTTGTAAAGGCCTGACGTCAGCGTACCAGCTTCCAACCGTCGTTCTTTTTTGCTGAAAGCCTTCGCCGTCTGGGATGAGGGACGTCGTCGGTTCTTAGAAAAGGGGAAAGACGTGGCTAGACACGCCCAAAGGAACCCACCGCAGCTTCGACTTGCAACCAGGACCATTTCTTCAGAGTCGATCTTCGTGGAGGTCAGCCGCGGAAGATCTCGGCAAAAAGGGGAGTCGTAGTCAGTAAAGTTCTTTATGCTGAGCCTTCGTTTCTGGTGTCCTATTGAGCACGGCTGATCGAAGCCCCTCGTCAGGCGATGGCCGACCCGGCGCTTTCTACCATTCCGGAAGTGTGTCTACGGCTCGATTTCGTTCGGGCTCCTTCATGCAGGAACCCTTCGCTTTCCCAATCGCCAGAAAATTCAACGTTGTTTGTTTATCAGTAGCCACGAGCTGACGCCTTGTCGTCCATTGATCAACTTCTGAAGCTCGTTTCCTCAACTTGGCCTTTTCTCAGGATCTTGGTTCCGTCCTGTTCTTCGAGGAGGCGCTTCAGAGCTTACCATGATAGAACGCGGCCACATGATCAACATAGATTGTAGAGCTTTCTCCAATCCAGAGTGGTCAATGTGGGACGGAGAACATGTACGAAGTCTCTCTCAGGCTCGAGAATAAAATTCCGGCTTCGTCTTTCTCCCAGGATCTTCATGGCTCCCTTCGCCGACGAAACGCTGTACACGGAGATCGCCAACAAGGCGCTCTTCTGGCAACAGCAGAGCTACTGCGGCGTCGACCTCTCGCCGCTGTACGGACAGGCCTTCTCGGGTTACTTCTCGCAGGTGAGAGATCCGTTCGTTTGATGGTCGAGCTAACAATCCTAAGCTGGTAATAATCCCAACTGTCTGTGAACAATTGCCAAGGCCACATATGTCCTTGTTTTTCACCTGGGATCCGCTTGTGGCTGAAAACAAGACGTGCAATTCTGCAAGGTGGCCCTTTGCTTGGCCACTTTGATTTGAGCCATCTGCATATGATTTGGAGTCTCGTGCATGTTTTGGGTTGGCAACAGGCAGAACGGCTTTATCCAAGGGCTCTCTCATGATTGTGCGTGCCCGCTGCCTGAAGCTGTACGTTCGAGGTCTCGGGTTCAGAAAGCTCATCGGGGCCTATTGCTAGATCGTGCATTGGTTGTTTGAAACAGGAAGTACCACTTTGCACCCATATCTACCAACTAAAATAGCATCGCTGGGTTGGTTCTTAGTGTATCCAATGTTCTCACACATTGAATTTCACAAAGACGGCCCTAAAACATAATCTGTTATTTGACAACCCAAACCCCAGTAAACCCTCGAGCCTTGACGCTAACCCTAATTTTATCAAGCCTAAAAAGAAACCTCAAAACCCTGCAAGCTGTGCCCTGAGTTTGCTAGAACCATTTCGCAGCCGGTGGTGGACGCGTTCGACCCGCGGCTTTTGGTGGCGCCGTCGCAGACCCACGTGATCGACTTCATGACTGCCAAGGAGGCGGACCTGTACGAGATCGACATCCCGCTGAGCTTCAAGGCTGCCATTGCGACGCGTGTGCACGGGCTCGCGTGCTGGTTCGACGTGCTCTTTGACGGAAGGTAGGTCGTTCAAACGTGGTCCTTGGATCGCTTCCAGAGCACCCCAAGCCAAGCTTACAATGCACCCTTGCCTCACCGCCTGTCTGCTGGTTTGACAATCATAGACGTCGTCGCTCTTATGGTTGTCGGCGGTCTTCCGCCGCTTTCTCAACCGTTTGGTGGGCTGGATCAACCGTTTGGTGGGCTGAATCTGACACTGCTCTTCACTTGAGTCCGTGTTCATTTTTCCTCCGAAGCCGCATACGAGCGCCGTGGCTTATCCGTCCTTTCCGGTTTCCAGCAACGTCCTGCGATGGCTTTCGCCTGCCCCCTTCAGCCGCCGACCCACTGGTGTCAGCTACATTAATGACTCATCTTTCGACCCATAGCTTATCCTCTTCCCAGTAGCTTATATCTCGGAGTCCAACTCAGCGCTTATGCTCGCACATTTTCCGTCCAGCAACGTCCTCCGGTGGCTCTCGACCGCGCCGGGCCAACCGACGACTCACTGGTACCAGCTTCGTTGCGTGCTCAGCCAGCCTCTGTACGTCCTAGGGGGACAGCAAATCTCCGGTAAGCCTAAGAACCCTAACACTGCACCTCCGGGCTCCAGGGGTCTTACTCTATTCTCTCGGTTTCCGTAGCTTACCGAATGCACACTTTTGCCAGCGTTTTTGTGGACTGCATTATCAAAATCATGCTGTCCACCGCGACTGCCCAAGTTGGCAATATCGAAGGAGGAATTTTTAGATCACATTCTAGCTATACATGTGTACAATTTCCACAGAGCGGTAGCCCCTGCCACTAGGAGCTACTCCATCAATGTCATGCTCCCTATCGAAACTGCTGCCTTCAACCCGACTTACCAACCCAAGCCCTGGAATTCTAAAGCGCACTTCTGCCTAAGGGCGTCTACACATGGTGGCCCACGTGGCCCAAAGTTACCCCATCGAATGATGCTTCGTATCATGACGAGCGGGCACGTACAAAGCTTCGAAGGTCAAGAGCTTGAACCCCAAAGATCCCAGAACCCTAAGTCTAACCCTTAGTGTTCCAGGGCGCCTCCACATGGTGGCCCATGCCTCCCAGAGCTACACGATATCTCACGCGGTCTACCACGACGGGGGGCCGCGTGCAAAGCTCCTCATGGCAAGCTTCAGAATTCGAAATCTGAAAGAAAACCCAGAAACCTTGAGACTGAACCCTAACCAACCCTTAAACCTCGTTTCCCAGGGCGTCTACACGTGGTTCCCCACGCTTCACTGAGCTACACCATCAATTTCAAGCTGTCTCCCACGACGGGCCGGCGCGTACAAAGCGCCTCCGGCAAGCTTCAAACTGGAGACCTGAATTAAATCTCGGAAACCTGAACCTTCACCTAACCCTTCAACCTTCGTTTGTCAGGGCGTCTACACATGGTGGCCCATGCCCATGAGTACACCATCAATTCCATGATCTCTACCACGACGGGCGGCTGCATGCAAAGCTCGCTAACCAAGCTTCAGACTTCGAAACCTGAAACAAAACTCAGGAACCCCAAACCCGAAGCCTAACCTAACCTTTGAACCTTCGTTTGTCAGGGCGTCTACACATGGTTGCCCACGCTTCCCAGAGCTACACCATCAACCTGACGCTGTCTACCACGACGGGCGGGCGCGTGCAAAGCTCTTCTGGCAAGCTGGACCTCAAGGAGCCCTACTACCGAATGTCACAGGCGGCGACTTATGGCTCCTGGTACGGAATGGAAGATTCACAAGCGGGGGGGCAGCCACAGCAGCAGCAGCAGGCGCAGGAGGCCCCCCCGGCGCAGATGCCCCCGGACGTGTCCATGCAGCAACACGAGGTAGGTGCTTGATTTCGAAGCTTGAGAAAATGTGGTCGGAGGATTCTACTCAGTCTTTGATGCTCGAGAGAATCTGATCTGCGGATGCTTTTCGGTCTGGTTCCTCAAATCTTGGTGGTTCTCTCTTCGTGAGTCTGTTACCAAAAAGCGTGCGTCAGGCTTCGAACTCCGCTTTTCGTGATGACCTTTTCGGAACTCTAGGATCGTTGCTTATTTGGAACTTCCGAATCTGGGTGCGCTACTCTTGCCATGCTTTCCAAGCGGAAAAGGTTGGGCTTTCGCTCTTACTAAGCTCAAGGGTAACGACCGAGTCGCTCACCTTGCTTCAGAGCCTTTTGATCACGTTTCTAAGAAGGCGACCGTCCTGTGGACGTCAGTCCTTCCGTTTTGAAGCTATTCGTTCTCCTGCCTTGCCCATCATAAGAAAGATCGTACGCAGACTTGAGAGGGCGCGCACGCTGCAACGACCAACTATATATAATTCTCGTTCCGAGTCGGAGTCGACGGTCGCTGCTTCGATTTCAATGCTGACGGATGCTCGGCGGCCGAAAAGCCCGATGTGCGCATAAACGGTCGCATTTGTGACGTCATGCGGACGCTTCCGCCGACGCCCACTTTGAGAATCGTAGACTTCGATCTCAGCAATACCGTTTGTGCAATATGTGCAGCCGTACCCAAACCAACACGCCCCCCAGCAAAGTGGCCGCCAAAGGAGGCAGCCGGAGCGGAGTCACCCCGACGGTTACCAGTCCGGAATGGGAAACGCCGCACAGAGTCAACAGCAGCAGCAATATTGGGCCGGTCAGCAGGGCCGGCCAGAGGGAGCATACGCTTCCGGCGGGCAGTACAGTCAAGGAAACAGCGGGGGCGGTTACAACAATCAGTCAGGGCAAACCGGGTGGCAATATCGATGACAGATGGAACTTTAGATGAACAACGACTTTAATGCTTGTGCGAGTGTCGTCAGATTGTGTAAGAAGGTAGACTCAGCGTTTGCCAATGTCTTTGCTTGGTTGTCGGGGTATGTGCTATTTCTGTTGTTGCAAATATCAAAGTTAGAGAAACACATTTGCAGAGCCGTTCTGAACGCCAGGACCACAAGTGTCTGAAGTCTGACTGAATTCAATGCGCCTCTGGAGATTAATCAGTATGCATGCCATCCAAATTGCACAGGCGCACTGCATATATGATTGTCTTTTGTGAGGCCGGGCGGCTGCTTAAGTTACCCAGCGAATGCTCACCGTTGAGTGCCTTCAAGCATGCGAATGAGACAGATTGCCAAAGTGTTGCATCTCGCAGGCTGTCCCCTGAGTATCGGACATGCTGGGGACAGATTAAGCCTGCCCTCGATCCGTTATGCTCTCAAAAAATTATATGTCCGAATCTTGAATGTCAGGATATAAGTGAGATTGAACCGTTCAATGTTAACTTGAAGTTCAACCGACTCAATGCCAGGCAACCGTCCAGGTTTCAATCGGCGAATAATGCTCAGCGCACCCGGCCGCCATCGCGTACACAAAATCAAGCCATGCGCCATGCATGATGCATCTGGCACCTCTTATCCAACATCGATCTGGCATCACATGCACTGTATAAAGCAATGATTATTCTTCGATCGTTACACATGGCATACGACCATACATTCCACCGCCGCCACGACGTACCTATCACGAATTGACTCAGTGACATGTTTGTGCATGCCGGCCGCTGAGCAGCTGTCACTCAAGCGCTCAATCAGAGGCTCTTAATTAAGTCAGCTGATCGTCAGTGTCACTATCTTACTAAAGTTGTCACGCACATGATATTCGATCTTGTACGCGAGATCGGTGCAGTGCAGTCAATGCACAGGCTATGTTGGGTCCGATTGCTATACGCATCATCGATCACTCATTCAAACCTTCTGAGACAAGCATGGTTCCGACCATGCCATGCATCCGGCCAACGGCTTGGCACGTACCGCAGAAGGATACTAAAGTAATGAACACTGATGTAGCAAAAAGTCCACAGAATCAATGGGCGCTAGCTTAGCAACCCTCTTGGATATCTCTCGATCAGCGTATACGTACGTACTGCCCAAGAAAGAAAGGGCTTACATCGGTCACTCGACCCACTACGGGGCTAAAGTCTAGCAACATCTGTCGGGCCGGAACGACACCTTTCACTCGACAACCTCCACGGTGCTACAAGTCTAGCAACATCCGGGAACGACACCGCAACGGCTCTAGTGCGCAACGACTCTAATGCTGAGCAGGTTTTTCCCCAATACTTGATGGGGCCCAGTTATCAAAATGAAGTCGGCCCCTCCACCATCCTGAATTTCCAATTAGCCCACTAGGCTAAATCCTGCAGCCCAACTGGCCTAGCTAATGCTGAGCAAAATTGTCCCAGTACTTGATGGGCCCCAGTACAACGGCGGACGACGGCGCTCCTCCGACGTTGAACGTCCGCAGGACCTCGAGCGTGTCCTGGTGGTACTCCTCGACCGCTGCCTTCTTGGGGATCATCACGAACAGCTGCAAGTCCACCGAAAGGACCCGAATCAGTTGCTAGCGACGTAAAACCTTGGAAGTTGCAAACAACCGCTCCTTGCGATTAAAAAAACTCAGAGATAGCTAGTGATTAAAGGCGTTTGATTTCTTAACATCGTCGTCCGACCGACATCTTGTCTGTTTTCTCTACATCTTGTGTGTTTCTCTACGATGTGAAAAGCACTACTGCCGGCGTGTTTGTTTGTTGCAAGCACTGGGAAAAACAGTCATTCGAAAGAAAGCTGAGGATCTGCATGCAAAAAACCGGTTGAAGGCTCAGAGCTTGCACGACAAAACTCAAGCACTCGATTCGGTCTGAGTCAGCGGAGCTTACCCTCCCCAGCCCGACTTGCACCGCGGGCCAGACGTCATCAGAAGTATCGAACGCCGTCGAAAGATCGCCGCTCAGAACGCCGGTCACGCGACGCATTTCGGCCCCCGTTCTGGGGTTCAGAGTGATCAGGGTCCCGTTCTCGCCCGCCGTTAGCACAGCCAGCAGATCGCCCGCCGGATCAAGAACTGCACGAGGAAACAAAGCGCATTGTCTTCAGTTCCAGCATCACCCGAGTTCGAGCCAATCTCGTTAGCTAGCGCGTGCGCAGTGGGAGAAAGCGGTTTGTCCGAAGCTGGTCCGAAACCGGTTTGAATGTAAAACACCGGTCCGAGCCTGGTCCGAACGCTTCGGAAACCGTTCAAGACCTGTCCGACGTCGCCATGAACCGCACAGCAGTTTGGAGCGCGTATGAACCAGGTTCGGACAAAGAGTATTCTGCAGATTGGTTTCTTGAAAAACTTCTCAGCTCTTACTGCTAGCTTCTCATGAAGGTATCAACCAGTTACAACGACCTCAGACACGTGCAAAACCTTGGATGAGCTCCGGAACGTCACATTGTGGATATAAAGTGTTGTTTTTCTAGGCACGTGTCTCCGCTTAGGACACGTAGAAGCGCGCTACGTTCAGCTAAGGACGCGCCAGACTCGGGACGGAATGTGTCGCCGGGACTGAATCGAGACGCGAAGGAAGTCCTTTAACGTTTTCTTTTGCTTTTGAGTCCAAAAGCTATGAATCCTTTCATGCATGCAGACGTCCCCGTGCAACGTTAGCGCGCTTGCGTGGAAAGGGGAGAGGCCGTTCATCTCTACAGTGGCTGACGTTGAATGCTGATATTGTCCACCTGCGTTGATGACTTCCCCCTCGGTCGTTGCATTGACCACAAGTCGAGCCTCCCCAGCCGCTGGATCAAAGAAGTGGATCCCGATCGAGAGGTAGTCAGGAGGCGCGCCGTAAGAGACCCCAAAGAAGGTCGAGAACTTGCCGCTACCAATGACCTCGTAAGCGCGGACGTTCAGAGGCAAGGGGATGCTCTTGTGGGTGAAGTTGTCCGGGGCTGCATTCAAAAGGAGGCAGCCATCAGCTTTTGAATGTGGAACGTCGTCTGCAATATCTACACGGAACGGCCTGTGTGTTGCGTATCGTGTCACTTTTGATAATTGTATGGAGCTCACAGGCAATGGAGGAAAATCATAGAACTGCCAAGGTGATGAGCGGTATATCTGGTAAGGATTAAGCTTTCGATTGAAGAGATCCTCTAACAAAGCATCAATCACTCTGCACCCGTAAGTACTACCCGTATCCCGGCCAAACTTAACCCCCGGCGTCCCACTCGATTCTCATTGGGCTTTGTCACTAAAGCGATCTAAATGGATATTCTCGGGTGATGATAATTTGGAACGAACTCCAACTGCAATTCCAAGACAAGGCGCGAGCGTGTTAAGTACCTGTGTATGATATCACGAGTACCGAGCCGTTGCAGGCGAAAAGAGCATCTTTGCCGTTGGTCGCAGTTCCATGAAGTTCGGGGCAAGCAGTTCTGGAGCGGTTGTACACAACGGTCCCGTCCGTGTTGTATACCTGCATATGAGCGGATTGTCAATCAGCCTGGTTTTGCAGTGCTAGAATTTGATTCGATAGAAGCACTACAAAGCTTTCCTCCACTTTAAAATGAGCAGACTTTGCCAAGCAAGTCCTAAAAGCATGTGCGTTGTCAATTTCTAGTCTTCAATCGACTGGGCGTTTTTCAATAGTCTTCAATCGACTGGGAGTTTTCAATCTGAATCGCAACTTCCAAGAAGCTGCCAGTTTACTCGTCAACCGACCACATAAGGAGGTCTTTCATTCAGCAGCTGGATGACTCTCATTTGAATTCCCACCGAAAAAGACAGGTTGCTAAACTGATTTTGGAGCGGGGGAAAAGATGACTTATGCACTTATTCTTCCACTCGAACTGACAAGTTGCTGGGACCATTTAGAAGCGGGAGCGCAGCTGTAATCCAGCGAGGGAAAATTTGAGACTCACCTGAACGCCTTGAGCCAAGGCGACTTCCTCGTCGTTAATGGCAGACTGGTTAACGTAACCAATGGCGAAAAAGTCTTCTGACAGGGGCGCAACGAACCCGTGCTGTCGGTCGCTTTTGATGAACGTGGGCGAGTAGGAGGCGTTGCCAAGCTGCCTCTCGTCAATGATGCAAGCTCGCCCCTCTGGAAACGTGCACAGAGAAAGGCCGTCTGTCAGGGCTTTTAGAATAGGGAGAATGCTTGAAGTGCTGGGGTCCCAAATGGAAAAGGTAGACAGCTGTTAAGACGAGAACAAGGAGACGTGAACAGAGACGGCAGGCTGTCAGGACGCAGAAAAGGGTGACTGCCTGAGGTGATGCGGCTCCAAATGAAAAAGGTAGAAAGCTTTTAAGTAAGCACTTCCAAAGAGATAAAGGAAAGGTGCACAGAGAAAGGCCGTCTGCCAGAAATCGTAGAATAGGAAGTTCGCCTGAATTGATCCGGCTCCAAACGGAAAGGTGAAACAACTGTAGAGAGACTTCCAAAGGAACAAGGAAACTTGCACAAAGAAAGGCCGTCTGTCAGGACGTAGGAAAGGGGGATCAACCAAAGTGAAGCGGCTCCGAACAAACCAGTGAAACAGTTGTTCAGAGACTTCCAAAGAAATAATAATACGGGCACAGAGAAAGGCCGTCTGTCAGGATTTGTGGGAAAGGGCGATCGCCTGAATTGATGCGGCTCCAAAAACAAACGTTGAAACGGCTCTAAAGGGACTTCGAAGAGAACAAGGAAACGGGGCACAGAGCAAGGCCGTCTGTCAGGACTTGTGGGAGAGGGCGACTGCCTGAATTCATGCCGCTCCAAACAAGAACGTTAAAACAAGTACTGAGGGAATTCCAAAGAGAACAAGGAACGTGCACAGAGAAAGGCCGTCTGTCAGGATTTGTAGAACGTTTTTAGGTTTGTCGCTTCAAACGGGAAAGTGACACAGCTGTTATGACACTTCCAAAGAGAACAAGGAACGAAACAACACCGCCGTTCTTTGAGCTGCGGTACACTGCAGGAAGTAGTCGCTCCTAACCAAACCTGATTAAGGAGGCACTCAAATTGAGCAGTGTATCAGTCTGTTGTGTTCGAAGGGTCATTGACCCGTTGCTTAACCCGGCTCAGTTAGGTGTTGGTTTGCATTGCGACTGCTGAGCTAGGCTGCAAGACACGGTGAGCTTGTTTCTCACCTTCGTCAAAAAAGATTGCTGTGATAGGCCCAAGCGTGGCAAAGTTGCTTGGTGACGTCACATCGAGGGCGAAGTCACTCAGACCCGGTGTCGCAGTCTGCTCGATGGACCATGCCCCTTGGTCAAAGCCTGACAAAAGGGAGCTGACGTCAGGTCTGTCAGGCCACGTCAGCTGATCAAGGTGATGCGCGTTCGAAAGACACAAGCGCAGCGGATCTTCATCCAAGATAACGAGAGACAGTGCGAAACAATGGCTACTAAAGATGCGGGTAGTCGTCAGAAAGTTGCACCAGGGGTCCTATGTACTCAGCAATGCGGAAGGTTACTAACCTATCTCGTAGTTGCTGTCGTAGACTGACGTCAGGTTTCCGTCATACTGCAGGAAGATGGCGTAGCGACCGCTACTGGTGGTAAAGCCAGAAGCGTACGAGTCTGCCAGCTGGAGTGTGTCGTTGACTGATCCACTCGCCAGGTCGAGGACTGTCACCTGCAATCAGAATTTTGGTGATGCTGTTTAAAGAGTAGATGAACTTCAGAGCAGAGCGTTGAGCTGAAACTTGGCCGGAGGTTCTGCGCGCGCTGCTCGCGGGCACGGACCGCATCGTCCAGGAGATTGATAGCGTGGAGTACGGCCTGACGGACATTCAGAAGTACTACGCCAGCACGGGGGCTATGAAGGCCGCCGCCGAGACGCTGCGCGACGGCAAGAAGGTGCGGCCGGCCGGACAGTGATATGGTTAGAATACGCATTGAGTCAGTTCGAGCCAGCGGCTACTGCCATGGGCAGTGCAAAATTTTGCCTTGATTATGCATTGTTGGATGAGATTTCCAGCTAGTGTTTATGTGTAGCAGGAGTCTACATGCATGAGAACTGTGAGTTTTACGTGAGGACAGTGTTCCCGGGTTGCAATCCAGGTTGAGGCAGGATTCAAACAAAGCGCAACACCTCTACAGGTTCAAATTTGAAAAACTAGTTTCACTTTCACGGCGTCGGAGTGTTTCCAAAAACCGCTGATTGAGTCAAATTGCTGAGATTTGACATTTAGCTGAACTAATAATATTGCTGAAAGGAAAGTCAAAATCCCGCAACATCACTCATCGTCTTGTGCTTGCGGGCAAGGTCTTTAATGAGACCCATACAAGCCGTCAGGTCTGCAGCTTACCTGGCCCTGTGTTTCGCCATCAATGACAAGCAGGTAGCCCTGAATGCCTTCAGACGCAGGTCCGCCCAGGGCAAGGCTCGAGTTTGTCGCCTGCTGAAGAAGGACCCTAGCAACAGTGTTTCGCGGCAAGTAGGTCACAAAGATAAGGCAGACAAGTGCGGGAAGTGCGCGGAGCGCTATCTTCGAAGCCATGGGCACTGCTCTTGCAAAACCCTTACTAGCTCTCCGCCGGAAAGTTTTGGGAGTTGAACCACGAGGGGTTGCAAAGAGATTCCTGGACTTCAAGAATCTGCTACAAGAATGAGCGGCGCCGGCCGTGCTATATGAAGCCGGGATATGTGCTGTAAGAAATCATACAGAAGACTGGCCCCAAGTTGTCTAAATAGCTTCTTATGGACGGCTTCGGAATATTTTAGATTACTCAAAGGCAAACCTGCATAATTACCTTATCAGGAGTCTACCAACTCAAGCAGCGTTTGAGCGTTCGTGGGTCCGAGGGAAGAGCGGCCGCTGTTACCACGTTCTGAGCGACAAGTGAGTCAGTAATTCGGTTTGTCTGAGTACTCTCGGGTTTGAGTCGAGCCAGGTTTAGATACAATCCTGGAACCGGGAGGACGCACCAAACAAAAGTCTTTGTAGATACAAACCTGCTCCGCTCCCATACCACCCTAGCTAACCCCAAAATCCAACCCCATCCGCCGACCTCTGGCGTACATCCTCAACCTGGCCGTATCTCAACCGAAGCCTTCGTACTACCGTACTTGCTTCTGCGTCCTTTCACTGCCGCCCTGTGATGTCGACACGACCAGTTGCGGGGAATTGACGCTTCTTGATGGAGCGAAGCTGGTGTGGGATCAGGATTCTGGATGTTGTCGACCGTGTGTCCGGCATGCGACAATCATGTGCACCGGCGCAAGGCGCGACGGTATGATGGTTTGACAAACGCTCCGCACTCGCAGTGAAATGCATTCATGAGTATCATATCGCCTCGTCTGCGACGCACGCTCACACCATCATATCGCCGCAACTGCAGTGCCGTGAGGATCTACCGTTGCTACGCAAGAAATGTTGTCAGATACGTAGTCCGTACGTCAGCCGGAAGGCGGGTGGCAATTCGGCACCCACCGTCGAATTACCACACGTGTCCACACGATGTCCGCCGGCCTGCCGGCGGCAGCCGCATTGCCGCGGCAGGCGTACGGATCGGTAAGTTCTAACTTCACACACCGTTCTTCACGTGCTGACGTATCCGTCGCCGATTCGTCGGTTCAGTCTCGGCGGGTCGGCGAATGTACGGTCCGGCTGGGC